TGTCTGGCAGACACAAGGTCATGAGTTCGATTCCCAGTACTGGAAAAAAAAAAAGAAAAAAAAAAAAAACCCACTAAAAAAAAATCTCTACTTTGTAACATTAATGTGTTTTTTGGTTTTTTTTTTTGGTTTTTTTTTTGGTTTTTCTCCGGTACCGGGAACCGAGCTCACGACCTTGCGCTTGCCAGGCAGGCACTTTTGCCGCTGAGCTAAATCCCCAGCCCCTGTAACATTAATGTGGATATTAAATATAGAAATGAAAGTGCTTAGCAAGAAGTCTTATTCAGTGAGATCAGTAAATATTTGTTAGATGATTTTCATCTTAAAGAACTTGCTAGTCTTCTCATTTCTAAAAGTAAAAAGCTTAATTTAGACACCTAAAATCTGGGAGGTTTAAATGTGAAATGTGTTAAAATTTGCAGCACTTTTCATGCCACATGTATGCCTTCCAATAATGCTCTTCCTTGTCTTTTTTGCCTCCTTTGTCTCTTCTCTTGATCAATTCTTACAACTTCTTATTTTAGTTTACTATATATTTTAAATGGAGATTACAGGATGACAGAAGAAACAGTTCAGGAGTTGAATAAATTAAAATTTAGCAACCACACAGCGTATATGTTGAATAAAATTCTGAAAAGCAAATTGTTAAAAATCTATTGGTTTTCTTACAAAGTTATTGCTTTCCTTGTTTTTTGTATTTTCTTTTGAGGTCTCTATCCCTTCTCTCCCAAAACAACTGCTTGACTTAAATTCTTCAGTGCACATTTTTTAGGGGTCATACTTTACTTGAATCACCTAATGTTTATCTGTATAAGTTCTACCTATATTTAAATCATCAGTCACTTGGATTATTTATGAGTTAATGATGTAGTTCCAGCTTCTGGGGCAGAAAAATCTATGATGAATTCTGCAGTCTTTGATAATGGCTAAGATTCTACATACTGTAATATGTCTTTCTCAAACTGAGTGATTCAGATAATCAACAGAATACTTCACCTTGTTAGAAGACAAATTTAGAGCAACTCCTTTCATATTATAATTTCACCTTGAATTCACCTACAGGCTTATGGTTAAGATATAAAAAACATTCAACATATCCAAGGTCAGTTAAGTTTGAATCAATTATCGCAGCATATTATTTGTGCTAGTGTGTTTACACGGCATGCTCTCTCTGCCTGAAGTATTTGTAAGGATAAGAGACTGCTTTTTATTTGAAAATAAAAAAGCTCCCATCCACCCACACTCAGCACTACAGCAATAATGTATTATTATTATTCATGACAGCATATGCTAATTCATTGGCTTTTAAATGGAAAGAAAATAGAGACAATGAAATGAATAGTTTATGTTCTCTGAATCATTCTTTGTCATGCAATAAACTTTCAACTAAGTCTCATATATTTTATAAGAAATATATTCTACAAGACTTTCCGATGCACTTATAATAACCATCATTTATACAGGGCTGTCAAAATATAAAAATAAACTGTAGACAGCAAAGTTACAATTTAGACTCTCAAAAATCTCATAGGTCATTAGCACACATTCATTTGTTCTTGCACAATGTTATTCATTTGATATTTTTTGAGGGCCAGCCATGTACTGGACACTGTAAGAAGTGATAGAGAAAATAAAGTTCAACAGAAAATCTTACCTTCCCTAAAAGAGATTGTATTTTCTGGTTTTTTAAGCACAATTGCATTATTTTGAAATGCCATTTTCAGGATATGCTACACTTAATTTCTTGTCTGTTCTCTTTCACAGATATATCAGACCTTGCCATTAACACTCTGTGTATGTTACACTTGGAAATCCACCTCATTAGTCTGTTTCCATTTTTTTGTTGTTGTTGTTGGTTATTTACAGCATTTGTGCCTGCAAATAAATCTCAAGAGGAAGTTCTCAAGTTCCAAAATAAAATTCTATTGGAATTTTTCTTAAAATTGTCTTAATAAATAAGAAAAATCATTGTATTTACAATATAGTTTTCTAATGCAAAAACATTATTTCTTGTGTCTATTTTTTATTTGTGCATTTTCTGTACAATTTTTTTATTGGTACGTTTGCCATACATAGTGATCACATTCATCATGGGGAATTTGTACCTATGTATAATATATCTTGATCCTTTTTTTTTTCCATTCCCTCCCTTCAACCCTCTTCTCCTTCTCCTTTACAAAAGACACATAAGTTTAGATATCACAAGTTTCCCACGTGAGAAACCCAAAGAACAAATAAGGAGGAAAGTGGAGAATAGATATTGGGAAGTAGGAAGAACTTTTTCAAATGGGAAAGGGAGTGGGGGGGGAGCAGATTAAAAAAAAGAGTGGAAGGAAAAAAAATGGAAGCATGTCTTCTTTGGTCTACTTCTTCAGAATTATTTGTTAATGCAGTGTTTTCCTCATAAGATTTCACACAGCTTTATTATTTTGAATTGGACCATCTTAAAATACATTTTTCATCATCAATAGCTATTGTGTTCTGAATATTTACCTAGAATTTGGCCATGTTACTAAATTTCCTAAATAGTTTTCATTTTTCTTCTCTAAAAAATTTTAGGAACACTATTTTAATTTGTAAATCATGAAGTTCTTATTTCTTCCTACTTAGTATTGATGATTTTCACTTCTTTTTCTTGTATTTTTTCCAAGCTAGGACTTCTGGAACAATGCTAATCAAGAGTATTTCATATCAAGTATTTCCACTCACCTATAAAAATTGAGCTCTGATCTAGAAAGATTCTTAGACTTTCTTTTTCCTTACCCCACTAGGTTAAGTGTCCTTCATTCATGTTTTCATAATAGCCCAGCCTAGATATATTCTAGCATGAATCCCATGGGAAGGCAATTATTTATGAACTCTAAATCAGTCCACATTTCCACTATTGCAAATGCTGCTGTGAAGGTTGATCCATGAACATCCCTTCAAGACCCTATTTTGAAATGAATTTTAACCAGAGGTGGGATTATTGCATCATATGATAATTGTTCTTATAGTTTTGTTTGTTTTGTTTTGTTTTTCTTTCCAGTACCAGGAATCGAACTCACGACCTGGCACTTGCCAGGCAGGCACTGTGCCGCTGAGCTAAATCCCTAGCCCCTGTTCTTATAGTTTTGAGGAAATAATACACTGTTTCCTGTCATGGTGTCACCAGTTTACATCCCTGCCAACAGTATATAAATATTCCAATGTCTATACATCCTTCTCAACATTTATTATTTTGTTTCTATGTAGCAGAAATCTAAAGAGCCTGAAGTAGTATCCCACTGTAGTTTGGATTTGTGTTTCCATAGTAATGATGCTGAACATTTTTTCATGTGCTTATGCCAGTTGCGTATCTTTTTTAGAGAAATATCTACTCAAAAGTCTTGGATACACTTGTGATCAGGTTGTTTTATGTTGTTGTCTGTGTTTTTGTCTTTATGCCTCTCAAAGGGAAGAGAGGCATTTCAATATGAGTGCTTTAGAAAAAGGTTTTAGTTGCTGAGGACTTTATGTACTAGTTCAGAAAAATCAGTCTTCATACTTAGCCAAACACTGGCGTTATGCAATTCCCAAATGCCAATTTTAATGAGCCGTTATGTGATAACTTGGTAAAGCTTGTTTGTTCATTTGAAGGTAAGGGTAGCATGGGTGAGTTATTAAAATCTTTATTATGTAGATTGTATAAAATTAGGTGCAGAAAAATTTATCATCTCATTTGCTTTTGTAGTAACAGCTCCTCAGTGGTGCAAAGGGGGTGCATATAAAGATATAATCATGTAGATGTTCTAGTGAAGGTTGTTTTTAAATAGAATTGTCTATTAAAAAATAGAATTGTCTATACTGCCAGGGACAGATAGCTCAGTCTTCTCATTATGTCTTTAAACTGGTATATGTCATAGCACACTTTTTAGTCAGTGTACCGTGTCAAGAAAACAAAGACTTTTTGAAGGATTGAGGTGGGACTTGTTTTTTCTCATAATGAAGTATAATGTAAGAGAGTTCAACTTTCAGATTAACCAGCTCTCAGAATAAAGACTACTTATAATACTATTATAGGTGACAGATTTTCTAATTGTTTCAGGAAATTTTTATTTTAAAAAGAAACAAGTTTCTGTCTTTGATAACAAAAAGGTTATTTCTGCATAAGGTTTTAGGACGGCCGTTTAACTCAGGATTTGGCACTCACAAAGCAAAGCTTTGGGGGCTGGGGATTTAGCTCAGCGGCAAAAGCGCCTGGCTGGCAAGCGCAATGTCGTGAGTTTGGTTCCTGGTACCGGAGAAAAACCGCGCCCCCCACCCTCAAAAAAGCAAAGCTGTGAAGTCTATTACCAAGGATGATGGCATTCATAATGATGCCATGGAAAAAGATGGGTGCCTATCTCAACAGTGTAATCTGTATTATTAGCCAGATGTGCAACATGTATGTGAAAGAATTAAAATGGTTTAATATTATGCTACATTTTATATTAGATAAGGAAAGAAAGAAGGAGGGAAGAGAGGAAGAAGAAAGGAAGAAAGGGAGGGAGGGAGGGAGATGTAACAAAAATATATAAGCAATTTCAAATTATAAAGATATATTCAATTTTACCACCCAAATCTGCCCTATTGCTTCTTTTGTTTGTTTGTTTGTTTTTTTGTTTTTTTCCAGTACCAGAAATCGAGCTCATGACCTTGCGCTTGCCAGGCAGGCTCTGTGCCGCTGAGCTAAATCCCCAGCCCCCTGCCTTATTGCTTCTTATCAGTACAGAAGTTTTGTCTTCCAATGTGGAAAAAAGCCCCTTATCTTAAAGGAAGTTTCCTAACTATGCTCATTTAGATTTTGTATTTGACCTGGGAGAAACTGAGCTTGATGCTTTGATGACAGAATTTAAATCCTAATTACTGTATGTAATCAGTTTCCAGGAAATGACTCAAAAAAAAAAAAACTTTACTGTCCTGATGCATGAAATGGACTTAGAAATGTCCCAGTCCTTGAAACTAGTTTTCAATAACAACCATTTTGTTTTTGTCCCCAGCGTTCCGGCGGTGGGCTTGCCATTCCCTTGTGTGCATTCCAAGGGACTGTGTCTCTCCAGGCACCTACAGGGAAAACCCTCTCTCTCTCTACCTATGAAGTAAGTGCAGAAGGTCAAAAAATAACCCCAGCTTCTAAGAGAATAGAAGTCTATCGATCTAAAAGTGTTGGCCATGAACCAAATCCAGATGATTGTCCCTCAACATTTGCGGACACTAGTGTGAAAATACACTTGGAGGTTCTCGAAATTTGTGATAATGAAGAAGCCTTGGACACTGTTTCAATTATTAGCAATATCAGCCAGTCTTCTACACAAGTCAGATCTCCCTCACTACGCTACTCACGGAAAGAAAACAGATTTGTTTCCTGTGATCTAGGGGAAACAGCGTCATATTCTCTCTTTTTACCTACAAGTAATCCTGATGGTGATATCAACATCTCCATTCCAGACACTGTTGAAGCACACAGACAGAACAGTAAGAGGCAACATCAAGAGAAGGATGGCTACCAGGAAGAAATCCAGCTGTTAAACAAAGCTTACAGGAAACGAGAGGAAGAAAACAAGAGTAATTAGTGATCAGTTGTTTTCTCAGAAGCAAAAATGGCTCTGCAACTTCAAATTGTGAAACAACTCTTTTTGAAACTGTTTTCCTTCATTTCTTGGTTTACATAAGCTTTACTAATTTACTAGTTAACTATTTTTAGTGTGAAGAGCTGAAACTACTGTAGACACTAAGTGCATTTATATGTGCTGCCTAAAGATCACACACTGTGGTAATTAAAATATTTTATGTCTTATCCGATTTCTTCAAAGGCTTTTCTAGATCATATCTTGGCCTAGTTTACTGTCTTTGCCTATATTTGTCAAATGAATGTACTGTTTCCATCACACGGGTCTATACTTAATGTTGGCTTTTACTGCGGGGGAAAAAGGAGGCATGTTCAGAATAGAAGAAATGTAGCAAAACTCCCAAGTGGTATTTGAAAAGGCTTGTCTAAATGTTGCTATCAGTATACTGTTATTCCAGTTACTGCTTCAGCTTTACACTGGCATCTAGAAAATACATTTTTGTGTAAAATGAAAGTTGGATACTTGGAAAGATGCATGCCTCTAATCTATGAATAGTTTCATTAATTTCTATAAAATATAAATAGTTTAATAGGTGGTTCTTTTCTTTTGCTTTCTCTTAAATTTTCCTTTCATTTTTTCAGTGTGTCAAGCTGGCCTTTAAAACAAATATGTTGTATGTTACAGGTGTAATTAGGAGTCTTGAACTCAAACATTATTGGAAAAGTTTGTGTTAGCTTTCCCTCACTATAACAAGCTTTCCCTGAGATTATATTTCTTGTAAAGAGAAAAGTCTTATTTAGCTCACAGTGTTAACGTTTCCGGTCCTTGATTGATCAGTTCCCTTGATTTGGGGGCTGTGGCAATGCAGCACATCATGGTGGAGTAAAACCATCCAGCTCATGGTGATCTAGGAAGCAAAAGAGGTAGAAGGAACCAGTCTCACAATCCTCTTTGAAGATATGCGCCCAAAGACCATCAGGCCCTGCCTTCTAAGAGCTCGATGCTCCCTGCAACAGACCTTCCTGACCACCAAGCCTTCACTATAGGAGTCTTTCAGATCCAATCTACAACAATGTTTTCATTTATACTTGCTTCTAGAATTGTTTTGTTTATTTGAATGGAAATTGAAGCAAAATATCGCATTCTAAGAGGTGGCTCTAACTACAGTAACAAGCTTCTGGATAAAGCAGTGGAAAATCCTCTAATCTTAAAATAAAAGTGTCTAGTCTTAAAACTGCAGATTAGAAAAATTTTCTTAGCAATTCTTGAAGCATACAAACTTGTACTTCACATGTTAGGTTTAAATGCTTGCTTCTTTCCCAAAGATATGTGTTATCTCAAGTGAACAATTCAATATGTGTTTTGTTAAATGATTGGAAGATGCACATTTCAAGATTAGTTTTAAAATATATTACATTGCAAAAATATAAAAATGATCTCAAAATATTAAGAATGTATATTTCTAAAATTATAAAGTGACTTTTCTTCAAATTGCTTTATTCTAATCTTTCTCTGAACATATATTAAATGTATTACTTAAATGTTTATTTTCCAAAATTATTGAACTGATTATTTATATGGTCTTAAAGTTTGTGTCCCCTTACCTCACACATTTTTATATATAGATTGAGAGAAGTGGTTTTCAGAATCATTGATTTTGGTTTCCATTTTCTTATATTGAATCAAAATTTTAAATTGCTTCACATGAGCTTTCAGAATGTTTCAGCTTTAGAGAGGTTTCCTTTAAGCCACTAAGAAAAGTTATTCTCAAAATAATTATCTCAACTAACTTTTCAATTCTCACATAATATTACCTAAATTTTACAAGCAAATGTAATGCCATTAGTAACGTTTATAAAGCAAGTCTCAAATAATGCATAGCATATAAATTCAAATTCAAGTTATACTCTCACTCTAAATATATTTTACTTTTAAATACTTTGTATCTTCAAAATTGATGACTTTTAACACAAGTGGATAAATGAGCCTATTATAAATTTTTAACACTGAATATCTTTACAAAAGGAACAATGAATTGGATATTCTAATAATGCTTTGTAAAGTATAGATTTTGATATATCTAGATGTATAGTTTTCTGAAGGATAAAAATTGCTATTTTAAAATGCAATTTTGATAACACTGAAACTAGATTCATAATGCAACTAAAGAAAATAGTAAAGATTTAAATATAAACAATTTTTTAAACTATTCAGCATTTTGAATGGGAAGATGATGAAAGTCAGGGTTTAAAGAGTACATGAATTAGACTGGAAGACGATAACAGCCATTTTCCTGCCTGTTTTCCACTTTCTTTTCACTAGACATGGAACTAGGCTGGGGGAAGCAAAACAGAACAAAAGCAAAGCAAGCAAACTAAGGTATTCCCATTTAGCTCCTCTTGGTTACTGAACTATATATAGCATAAATATACTTTAAAATTCTCCTGTATTAAAACAATACCATGATCATTTAGCCTGAAGACATACTTGAGAGGCTAATTAGGATCACATTACTAATCTATAACATTTCAAACTCCAAGCCAACAGTAGATGAATCTACAAGAAAAATCTACTTGGACTGTACATAAACATGAAAGAATTCTTCAAATTCTTATAAAGAGAGGGTAAGGTTGAGCTTTACAAGTCTTAAATTTACTTACTCTATAGTGATTTTGATGATGAAAATGGTGTTTCTAGCATAGAAAATACCCTTTTAGATAGCCTATGCTACATCTGAATATCTTACCCTTGAAAGATAATTATATAGCTCTTATCATTAATAAATACTGTATTTTGTATATTGTATCTGTTCTATAAATTTTATGTAGAAATAAAAATCTTACCTAGTAAAAATGTCACCATCTGGTGGTGACTTCTACAAACTGCAGACACACAATCAGCTCCCTAATTTTATGTATATATGTATATATGTGTGTGTGTGTATTCTAAAATTTCTGAGAGTTGTCATTGACAGAAGCAGCTCATTTTGAAGACAGCAAACATGTTAGTATTACTCAGAATATAATAAAAACTGAACCTGTTCACACATTACTTGGAAGCTTTACTTTTATAACATTGGATTTCATAAATAGATTTTCTCTTAACTTGTTATATTCTCAGCTGCTTTTATTCTTTATTATAATATTTAGCAGATGACTGCTACCTGCTAGAAATTGTTCTGGATACTTGGGATTATAATTGGGAACAAAAAACAAATTTATAAATACACTTGTTGTGTGAGGTTGAGCTGAGGGTTGGTGTACACATATGTACAAGATTGCCTCTTTCCTGGTACCAACTTGAAGCTGACAAGTTTCTCCAAACCAGGATCAGTTTCCACTATTCACTAGATGGATTCATATAATTCAGGGGAAGCCATATACTCATGGTTATGGTTTATTCCAGGGAAAAGATACAGAACTAAAATCAACCAAGGAAGGAAGTGCATAAAGTCCAGGAACAGTTCTCAATGTGTATTTTCTGTTTTTCTTTTTGCATGGGGCCACAGACAACAAGACTTTCTAGGCATCAGTGTGTAGGAACATGAACAGGGTACTGTCATCTGTCTTGGTTACATTTCTCTCATTGCTGAGACAAAATACCTGACCCCCAATATTAAGGAAGGACAGGTTTATTTAGCTCACAGTTGGTGCAGGCTTCAGTCCATACTCGGCTGGCTCCAAGGCAGAGTGGCACATGGCAGAGGGAAACAGTTTATGAGGGCAGAAGATTGCAAAAGCACCAAGAGCAAAAGGGAGGAGTGGCAGCAATCAGCCTCTTTCCCTCCCTTACATTGTATGCAAACTATCCGCCCAAGGGCAGGTGTAGCATTCACATCCCTAATTCCAGCATTGGACCTTGAATCAATCATAAACTCTAGAAGCCTGCCCCATGACTGCATGAGGATTTGGGGGGCCATGCAGACACAAACCATAACACCATCCATGAAGCTCGTACAAATTTTGTGTCAGAGTCTTTATTGGTGTTCATCACAGTAGCAGAGTAAGTAAGCAGACTTGATTGCTTATATGACTGGTAGGTGTTTCCACTAATCAGGAAATCAAGGTGATATGAAATGACCCAAGGGCTTCAAAGTAGATCATGTTATTACTGTCTTGCTAGTCCAAGGCCCTTGGAAAAAGATAATTTATCAGATGTGACATTCCAAGAATTTAGAGATTATCTCCCCTGACGCTGGGAGAAAAGGCCAGTCCTCCCTCTGGATAATGTTAAATTCTTTACTACACATTTATATTACACAGATGGTCTGTGATTTACAATGGTTCAACTTAAACATTTTTCAAATTTAGAAAAAGTTTGCAAAAGTAATACACATTCAGTAGGAGCCATATTTTGAATTTACAATTTTCATCTTTTCCTAGGCTAGTAATATACAAGGGGATAGTCTTCAAGTTGGGCAGAACAGCATGCTGCAGGTCCCAGTTCACCGTCAGATGATGAGAGTAAGCAACTGTAGTACTATGTTGCTAAGGTACACTGGTTGGTAGGTTAGCGATACTGAATCCACCTTCAACCAATGATACTTTCAATTATAATGGAACATAACCCCATCACAAATAGAGAATATGTGTGTGTGCATGTATTTTATTTTAAAAATTAAAAAGACTAACAAAACAACAATGAAGACAAAATCAAAACAATACAAAAACAACAAAAACTATACATGACCTCAAAACAAAATGATAGGAATTAACAATGGTTGCTACATTTGTGCATGTATTTTAAATGCCCAGAATATTGATAGAAAATAGGGACCAGAGGTAACACCCACCAAAGAGAAACATTAGAATAAAGGGAAAATAATGGAAATAATGGCTTTTCCAATAATTCAGTCAGGAAAGGCTAATTAATAAAGTAACATTTCATCAGAGACTCAAAGTGAGGAAATTGATTAGGGTAATCCCAGTCTAGCAAAAGGAACCACAAGTTTCCAGAAGTAGGAGTGTGTCTTTTAAAAGTCTTGAGAGGACAGTAACTGTCTCAGCCAGGAAAATACAGAACTTATACAATATGATTTGAGACCAGTTAATAAAAATGTCATATACTGCCACCAAGCTGTCTGACACTTGCTCTTAGAAGGTAGGTGTCATGCTGTGAGAGGACTCAAACTAGGCCATACGTAGAAACTCAACAGAAGGGCTGTATATCAGCATTCCACACCATAGCTGACCAATGTTATCAGATGTTTCAATGAAAATAACTCAAAGTGACTCCAAATTTCAACTAGCAAGAATTTCCAGGAGAGATCTCTCTAGCCTGGATCAAGGAAAAATCATCCCCACTGTGCCATGTCCAAATTCCTGATCCATGGAACATATAAGCATAGTGGCTATTTTATATCATTGAGTTTTCAGGTGATTTGTTATATAGTAGTAATAATTGTAGTAGTATTTCAGAACTTTCATCAGCATTTGTGTAGTTAAGAAAGAATACAGAAGCTGTCATATATTGCACAGTACATCAGAAGGTACCTAGTGATGCTGGCTAGCAAGCCAGACAGGAATTGCTGGGGCAGAGGAGGTGAACTTACTACTAAAGGTTTCAAACAGACTGTCTGCCAATAAACCAACTAGCAATGACAGCCAACCTCAGGGGCCTCCAGAACATGAGGTCTTGAAATGAGGTTGAGTTAGTCAGGGTCATTCACATGAGCTTTGAAGAGCATGAGTTAGGTAGTAAAGAATATTAATGAACATTAGTCTAAGCATGAGATCATACCAACATACCTAGAATAGAAAACAGTAAGTATGTAAGAGATGACATTTATATTTACATAAACCTTCCCCAAACCTCTTTCACAGAACCCCATCTGAGAAAGAAGGGAGAGATAAAAAAGACCTAACATAGCAGAACTTCACAATTACATGAAATGAGACTGTCCTGAAGGCACCTGAAAAAATTAGCTTGCAATTTTAAGCTATTCTCATTATTTTCTTGTTGGCTAGCAGAAAAGAAGCTGAGAGATTAGATCAGTAATAATAATTTTAAAACAATACATTTGTCCATTTATTTTCAAGACAAATTTATTTTCAAGACAAATTTATTTTCAAGACAACTAAAATTACCCAATTTGTTCCAAAATTTTATGCAACCAGATACTATACTGAGTTATTTAATAAGTTCTTCCATATTCTTCCTTATATGAAAGAAACACTTTTCCATTTTCTCATCTTTTCTGCCTCCCACCAGCCAGCCACATTGTTATATTCTATAGAGGTTTACAGTTATTCTTATACACAGCCCCTCAAACCAACGCTATCCAAGGCAACCACTAAACATAATCCCCATTCCCAGACCTTCATAAATATTAGATCCAAGAAGAAATTATACAAGAACTATTATAGTATTGAGATAAATAATATGGAGAATAAGAGACTTCCTAAAATTGAGGAAGCTGAAGTTATTTACAATATCATAACAGATGTGTGTGAGGTTCATCCTTGCCAAATTCCATGTATGACTAGACTAGGGGAAGGAGTGGAAGTGTATAGAAGATGGACATCAAGTGCTCTCAGTTTCGAAGCAATGATTATGCATTCTTTGCCGCAGTTCATGATCAGTGGAGAAGACATTTGATAAGAAATATCATTAAAGGCTGCTCAGAGCTCAGCATGGTAATGGTCTCATTTATTTAGCTACTGAAGTCTATTTCTCTCAAAAGCTACTACTTAACTTCTCTAACTCCAAAAATTGAAATGTCTTGTTGTGTTATCCTGTGACTGTCAAATAAGTGAAGCTTTCCCTGTTTCTCATAGTTCAGTTCTTTGCAGCTTGCAAGTTAAACCGGAAAAGTAAGATTACAAAAATGAAAGACAGATTTAGTATGATATACATGGAGCTCATAAAAAATGTGACCCAAGGAAATTGTTAGAATTTGGGGCTTTTACAACAGTGTCCCCTTATCCATGGTGGACATGCTCCAAGATGCCCCATAGAATCCTAAAACTCCAGATAGTACTATGTTTTGTTTTATTTGCATGATGACATTTAATTCATAAATTAGGCACAGTAACATTAACATCACTAAAAATAAATGCATTATAAAGCAGTGTAATAAAAAGTAATGTGAATGTACTCTTTTTCTCCCACATGAAATATCTTACTGTCTTATACTTATACCTTGTTATGATGATGTTAAGTCACACAATCTACAGTGATGAGATGAACTAAAGCTCAAGGCTTTCTGGCACAACATGTTGCTATCAGTATAACATGTTTTCTGTTCTTATCTTTCACCCACAAATGTGATGCCTCTTCTATTTTAACGAAGCACTTTTCATGCACTGTGCCATAACTTTTGTATTTTGACGTGTGACATCAAAATGAACATGAATTTTTTCCTTCTTCACAATTTTACTGATAGATTTATTCTTATACAGCTTAGCAATGATTTTTTTTTCTGCCTTTATTAACCTGAAAATTTTCACTTAAGGGAAGTGCATTATAGTTTCTTTTGGGCCTATCTCAACGGCCAGCAGCACTACTCCTATGCTTTGAGGACGTTACTTGTAAACTTGAATGCAAACACAGCAGCACCACTACAGTTGATCTAAGAGGGCTTAATGATTAAGGGGTGGGTACATATACAGTGTGGAGATACTGAGCAAAGGGATGATTTGGGTCCTACACAGGACAGAGTGGAATGGCATCAAACTTCATTCACACCACTCGGGACAGCACACAACTGAAAACTTATGAGTCATTGATTTCTGGAATTTCTCATTTACTGCTTTGGATCACAGATGAGGGCAACTGTAACCATGGAAAGTGAAAACATAGATGAAGGGGGACCAGTACATATCACGTTAATTAGGGAAGTGGAGAGAAGAACATTTATGAGAAGACCAATGACTTTTAGAAAACATAATAGATTATGTTATTAGAATAGATGTGAGATATGTTAGTTTTGTCGGAGTGTCTAAGTGGTATGCTGACTTTTAGTTCCTAGTTACGAGTTAGTCTTCCCTGGTTTCCCTCCTAGGAAGGAACTGAGCTCTTTTGAGTTTTTTTTGGAGGCTCAGGGGTTTTTTGGTAGATAAAAGATTTGAGGAACTCAAATACCATCTACTCAAATAACTTTTAGGTACAATCAAACATTTGGGAACTTTCAGGCCACACAACATTTCCCTTTCTTAATTGACTGTACAATGATTTCTGCCTTTATCTTCTTCTCAAGAATGTAAGCAAATGAAAGTTTATATACCATCCTTGCCTTTTGCAGTACCACCAACATGTTTAAATCAGCTAAAGGTAAGTGGAGGGACTCTCTTCTGGTGAACATCAAATCTGTGTGGCTGGATCACTTAGTTATTTAACAAGTTTGCACAAACCACTCAGGGACCTGCTTAATAATGTGTGGCTTCAAAAGAACACAGGAATCCTCAAATGCTGCTTATTTACACGACCTAAGTGTTCTGCACTTAATTTAGATAGTGGATAAATGTCAGTCCTTGAAAGAACGCGGGGGCACATTTAGTTTTAATCACAAATTTGAAAGAGGTATTAGGCTGTTCTTAAGAAAGGTGGCGAATTCATTTCTTTATACTGTTAGGAAACTACTCATTGATTCACACGTTCTTTTATTTGAACTGATATTTCCTTCTCTCGGGTTAATTAGAAGCAAAGCCCGGAGTTTACCAAGACGAATAAATCCCTAAAGCCATTTTCTCACTTGCCAAGCTTAGCTTTAAAAAATGCAAGAAATAAAAATAAGAAAACTGTCAGCCTTTCGTTTGCCCGGCTTCCAGAATAACACCGTACGCTCTCACATACAACTTCATTCACGCCTCTTTCCGGAATTACGCTCGGGCGGACATGACGTCACCGGAAACGGTTGCTTGTGACGCTAAAGAGCCCGCCTTCTCGCTCTGGGCTCCGGAAGCAAAACGGAAGTAGATGTGCGTCCGCTTCCGGGCCCAGACGCCATTTCCAGCGGTTGTGGCTTCTCACTGGGGAGTAGTTTTCCCGGACAATGAGCTATGATTACCATCAGAACTGGAGCCGCGATGGCGGTTCTCGCAGCTCTAGTGGTGGGTGTGGAGGGGGCCACGGAGGGAGTCGAGGCTCTGGAGGCGGCGGCGGAGGTGGTCGAGGCGGACGGGGTCGGCATCCGGGGCACTTGAAAGGCCGCGATATTGGCTTGTGGTACGCGAAAAAACAGACACAGAAAAACAAGGATGCGGAGAGGCAGGAGGTAATCTGAGATGATAGTGGAAGGGGTGATGCGCACAAGATTTATTTTTTTATCCCGCAGCCTCTAGTCTTTGCTTTGCTTTGACGGACGCACGTGTTTTATGAAGTGTGAGTCAAGTGCAGGTGTACCTATTATGCTAAAGCTTCCTGTAGCGGATGTTACACCGCCTGACTTTCACTGTGTGCAGCTGGCCTGACGCAGTCAGGATTTACAGGAACAGTGTGTACTTTGCTTACAGTACATGAGAACTGTAAGTTCCAGTTCCAGTCGAAATTGATTTTTTTTCCTTTGCTTCAGTTTATTTCCTAGACTCTCATAACAAGAGCTTAATACAAAAGCAGTTGCTTGATGAATAAGTTTATTGGTCTTTATCTGAAAAATCTTCATAGAAATTTGGTTTAACTCTCGGCAGCCCTCTCCTGAGCTCTGAGGAAGCTTGCCTTCTTTTGAGCTACCCGATCTTTCTTCTTGGCAAAGGATATTTGGGGACGGTTCCACCTCTTCTTTTTAACTTCTCTCTTCGGCTTCTTTTCATAGACTGGATTCACTCGTATACTAGCATGAGCTTTTTTGTACATCTCCATCATGTCTGGAGTTACACTGTTCTTTATGTACTGAGAGAACTGTTTCTTGTAAGCATCTTCTTCCTCTTCCATTAGGTAACACATATAATCTGCGACATTCTGACCGGTGATGTGCTTCCGATGTACTTCTGCATTGAACTCCTTGCTTTCAAAATCATAACCAGGGAATTGTTTGGTACTAAAATAAAATTTTTTATATTTTAGTATGGATTAACAAATAAGTTCACTGATAGGAATTCACTTCAGTAGCTGCCGAAATTGATTAAGGTTGCCACATTGTCATGTATCTGTCCTTTCCTCTCAACATACTATTTTCACTTCTGCTTAAATTCTTTGGTTGGCGACGTGGAAAATAGTGATCTTACGTTGAAGATAAGTTTACTCAGGACATAAGTGTCAAGTACTATTTTGAGTGTAGATCTTTCAGAAAGATGAGATTTGTGCATGTGTGTGTATGTAGTGAGGTGAGGAAATTTGTATTGATTAACTGCTCCTTAAGAAGGGAAGGTAGCATCCTAGAGGCGAAATAAACTTAAGGATATGATTTGGTCAGTCTCTTCATGAAATTGTCAGTTTGATTTATAACTTGAAAATCTGTAGTAAAGGATGTCAAGATCTGCTAATAGTCCATACTTTTAAAAGGGTGATTTTTATCATGAAAGAAGAAGAAAAAAAAAAAACCCAACTTCCTTAGCATAGGCCTTTGAACCATGACCTGACAAAAAGCACCTTTTATATAGATACCAAGTGCAGTTAGTCATCTTTTAGCCCACTGTATTTTGTTTTTTCAGTGCTGGAGGTTGAACTCAGGGTTGGACCACATCAGCAGCAGCCCCTTTTAATTTTTTTTTTTTTTTTTTGAAACAGGGTCTTGCTAAGTCACTAAATTGCCCAGATTGACCTTGAACTTGCAGTCTTCCTACCTCAGCATCCCCGAGTGCCTAAACCACAGGTTTGCACAGGCTTATGCTACTATTTTTGAATCCTTGCTTTATTTTTCTCTTAAAGAGATCTTTTTGTTGAAATATTGTGGAGTTTTATCAGTTCATCTCCACAATTTACCACGTTCTTCTCTTTAAAAAACAAACAAATGTATATTTTGAGAGCCCCCACCCCCATTCATTGAACAACTGAATTTTGAAAATCTGGAGAAACATAATTAAGCCATAGTGAAATTGGAACAGTAATTGGAGTCCTAACTGTAAAGATATATACAATAACTTTTTGTCAGCTTTTGTTTATCTATTTCTGTCAAAGTTCTATACATGTTGCTGAAGGAATCTGAAAAATACTATATTCAAGGAGTTTTACAGTTTAGTTTGGAGAAAAAGACCTAAGCAGATGAAAAGTTAAGTCCTGAAAACTTGTTCATTGTTTCCACACAAAAGATACAGCTACTTGTGCAGTGGATATTAGGAACAGAAATCTTGCTCTTATCCCTCATGCACAAACTCAAATTTGTTAAATATCACTACCATTTATTTACTCTATTGCCAAGGCCAAATGGGATATATCTTTGATTATCATTTTAGCAAATCAGTCTGTACTTTCTCTTTTGTGTGCATCGCGGGCATGGTATTGGGCTTTGAATCTAAAGTCTTTGCACTGAGTCAACTTTGACGCCAGGCTGGGCAACTTTGTATATCCCCAGCCCTGTTTTTATTTTTTGAGACTGACTTTGCCAGCTTGTCCAGCCTGGACTCAAAGTTAGCTGCATTAGCCTCCTTGAGTACTGAAACTATAGACTCGTGCTGCCTTGTCTGGCTTTTTCTTTAATACAGTATATTCCAAATCCAACCACTTACCTTTACAGCAATTACATTATTATAGATTGGCCACTGTTTTGTTTTCTGTTCATAGTCTCCTAGCTAGTCTGTTCAGTTCCAAACTTGCATCCCATTAAATCTGTAGTTTATAGAGACACTCATAGTGATCTTTTGAAAGGAAAAATTAAATCCATGCCTTCGCTTACAATTTTGAAATTTGAAAAACTACCACTTCTGTGTCATTCTAATACACCTTGGTAGCATGTTTTTCTTAGCTTCAACATCAGGTTTCCCGTGGTGTACTTCCTAAGATCTGGTCCCCAACTTGAAAGAGTGTAATTACATGTTTTGTAAATATGCTTCATTTTTGCTTTTTATTACAGTGTCATACCATTCTGCTCTCTAAAGTGAGTTTTTACATCCTCTTGAAATACAAATATTGTCAATTGGCCCTTCCTTTGACCTGCAGCCTGATATGATTGCTTTTTGTCCGAATTTCCATGGCTTTTATTTTAAAAGAGTCCTTGTGCTTACAGAGTAAAAACATTCGAATGATAAATTTTGTTGTTCTTTCAAAGAAATGTTCATGGAGGACTTACTTTTTTTTGAGTCAGTATCTTATGCACTGAATAGGACCTACACTAGAGATATTGGATGTTAGGGGCCATAGGCTGAAGACAGTGTTAATGTGTTAGTATGATAAGGAGAAAATGAGCTATTCCCTACCTCAAAGGATTTTAGAAGATTTTGGAGAGGGTGCAGCCCTTAAGCTGAAATTTGAAAGATAGAAAAGTCTGTGTGTCTGTGTGTTTTTTGGGTTCTGAATTTAGAAAGATTTTTCATATAAAGGCAGAAATTTGTGTTACAGCACAGATTAGGAAGAACAACTTCAAGGAAGTGAAAGGCAGGAGCATGGATGTGAACTGTGTTCAGCTGAAGGTAGAGCAGTAGATTTCAAATTTGACTACTACTTGGTGCAAAAGGAAATGCATTTTAGTTTACAACCAGAACATAATTGAAACAAAAAGTTCATAAAATATTACTTAAACCTACTTTCACATTGTCCTGAGTTTTGTTGCTGTTGTTTTTATACTTTTCTGCTTTCTTATTAATTCAGGTCATGATCCTTTAATACCATTTCAGAAAAGCTCTAGGTTAGAAGAATAGGGAGTACCTTGAAATTCATGGACTTTTCCTAATAACCTTATTAAGCCATTGAAATATTGAATAAAGAATGAAATGGTGGGGTTTTAATTTTTTAATTTTACTTGGGTAGCATTGTAAGGGAAGGGATTGAAAAGAGGCAGTCCTGGACAGAAAGACCAATGAAGTAACCCTTGCAGTAATTAAGGTGGGAAATAGCAGCTTAAATTAAGAATTTTGCAGTGGAAATGGAAGTAGACAGATTAAACTGATTTAGGAGGTAAGACTCAAAATAAGTCTGTGATTTACTTTATCTGAGGGAATGAGCACGAGTGATAATGGATAACACTTTCATGACTGTATCGAGATCAGTTTTGGAGGAATATGATGTGCTCAACTAAAGACACTATGAGTGTGATATTGTTATCAGGCATAGAGGTCAGAATTTCAGAATGGATATGATGCCTGCACTGGAGGTGAGCGTTTGGCAGTTCATGGGCTTTTGCTCTTAATAGCCAGAGTGGGTGAGCAGTGAAAAGAGGAAAAGACCTGGGCCTGAAGTTTCTAGACAATTACCTTTTTAACTTGAATGTAAGAGGAATCACCTTGAACCTTGTTAGTATATAGGATCGGGCTGGGGCTAGAGAGTCATTTTTCTAACAGGTTCCCAGTGATGTCAGTGCTGCTGGTCTGTGAAAGGTACAACACAGATATTTAGGGGACAGGCTTAGGAAAATAAGTTTAAAGAATCTAGGTGGAGCCAGAAAAGAGAAAAATACAGCATTGAGTAGTGTTTTAGAACCCGGGAAGAGTGTTAAACGGAGAGAAAAGAAAGCAATGTGGCAAGATGTCTTGAAGCAAGAGCTGAGAATATCCATTAGATTTAACAATAAAGTCATTAGTGAGCCTTGAGAACCTATTCTGTGGAGCGGTGGGAGTAAAAAATCATATTGTAATAAGGTGGCAAGTGGGAAAGATGAGAAAATGGAACATTTTTGATGTGAAGGAAAACAGTAACAACTTATGGGAGTGGAGAATTTAAAATAGGGATTTTGCTTTTTTTTTTTAAACAAAGAGATTCAGTCGTGTTCGTTTACTGACTTTTCTGCTTTGGCCCCTTGAATACCAGACTGTTAAAAGTTCTGTCCTTATTTCTGTGTTGGAGGAAGTGTTTTTTTCCTGAAATAAGAGGACTTCTATATGTCTGTGATTTCAACACCTATCTCTTTGCTGAACACTCCAGAATTCCTGTCATAAACTCTAAAAACAGAATCTCTTGAGAGATCCAGTTTCATATTTTTATTTGCCTGAAAATCATTACAGCTAGGGAATTTCACCATTGATTTTTTTTTTTTTTTTTTTTTGGTTCTCTGGTTTTTTGGTTTTTTTCCGGTACTGGAATCGAACTCAGGACCTCCCGCTTGCCAGGCAGACGCTGAGCTAAATGACCAGCTTCATCATTGATTTTCATTGGTTTTTTAATTCAAGCGTGGCATTGTCCTTTGATCCTCAACGCCACATGTGCACAAAAACATACCATTACACATCAGCCTCCTCCTAATGGTTGATCTTAACTGCTGTTCTGCCAGACCCTAGCCTTGAATTTGAAACAGCTGTCTTTGATTCTTTTTGCCTCTCCCACTCCCTTTTAGTCAGAAAGTTCTAAGATTCTCTTTATTCTATATTTTAAAAATACATAATTTTTTCATTACTGTATTTACTTTTCTCCTCCTTTGGTCCTTTAAACAAAAAGACAGATTTTCACCACTCATATATTTCCCATTGCGTGTGAATTCTCACATACGTTATAGTGTTAAGTCTGGCTCATGAAGAGCCTGAGGTTTGTAAGCTCATAATTTTTTAAGAGTCCAGTGTTAAATTTGCTATATCTAAAAAAAAACAAAATCTCCAATGAATTTGCTTTGATGTTCATTTTTTTTACCTTAACCTGTAATTTCGTTTCTTAGATCTGTATTTTAAAGTGTTCATAATTCACCAAGGACCTTATCTTTTTCAAGTAGGGGATTTTCTTTGTTTTCATTTTCTGAAACAACTGATTCATTTACAATCTATGACGAGTGCTGGTCAGCGCTGATCTTACTTCCTCTGAGATCAGTCTTCTTAACTTCCGAATTTACTTAGTGTAAGAACTTTGAAATACTTGCCACAATTAAAATATTATTTTGTTTTCAAGTTTTTTTAATATATTTTCTTCTCTTATTTATTTATTTATTTTGGTACTAGGAATTGAATTCACAGCCTCACGCTTGCCAGGCAGGTGCTGTGCCACTGGGCTACATCCCCGGCCCTCAACATTTTTTTTTTTTAAACAGAACATTTGGGTTTTAGTAACTGAAAATTTCAGATAGGAAAACATTTATAAGTACCTAAAGGTAGGAGTTAGGGGAACCAGAGTTATAGAAATAGATACAGATATTCTCTGTTTGCCAATTATATTTAGATCTAATTTTATAGATACAAAGTATGAAATAATGTACAAGGATATACACAAAAATGTTAACATGTATTTATTTGGTCTAGGAAATGGGGTGGGCTAGAGGGCAAGTGTGACTAACTTTAGCTTTCGTAAACATTTGTTGAACATCATTGCCTTTTTTTTTTTAGTTACAAATAAACATATTTTCTTATATTAATAAACCATGTTGCACATGCTTTCCTATGTTGATAAAGGTGCTTTTTCCTTTGTACAAAATAGAGAGCAGTAGTACACATGGATGAACGACGAGAAGAGCAAATTGTGCAGCTGCTGAATTCTGTCCAAACTAAAAATGATAAAGATTCAGAAGCACAAATATCTTGGTTTGCTCCAGAGGATCATGGGTAAAACAAATTATATTCTTTTAAAGAATAGGCAAATATTGTACTTCTTTTGTGGCATTGGCTAGAAAATTATGATTAAAAATACTGTCACTGTCTTTAGTAAGTAGAATTTAGTCTTGTTATTTTTCAAATGTAGATTAACTTGATTGGAAAAAGAAAAAAGTTTATATGCTATATTCCCACAAAAATGCTGAATATGGGAAAGAATAGTTTGTCTAAATATGAGATGTATTCAGTTATATGTGCTTTTACCTACCATCATTGTATTCCATAATATTCTGTGCATAGGTCTACACAAGTTAAATTGTTTCTGGAGTGGAAAGATTGTAAAGACTTTATCATTTAGATGAAAATTTAGAACTATTTTAGTAAGCCTACTATGTGGTATTGCATTTATAGTTCAAGGAAAAAAATGAATTTGTAAAATAAAGCAAGTCCAAGAAAATCAGACAAGAACATAATTGCAGTAGAGCAATGACTATTGTGTAAAATTTTGTTTTTTATTAATTTTTTATTTTTTTGCCTGTGTGAAGGATAAATTTATTTTTTCGTTTATTAGAAAAGGAACTGAAAAAAAGATTTTTATCTTTTAAACAATTGCAAGGGATAACTTCCCTTACAATATCTCTTTAAAAGGAGGAAAAGTCTGAATTTGTTGTAAAAATATCAGTATATTTCATAACTGCTTCATAGAACAGTAAGCTTTCAATTTTGGTGATTTTAAAATACTTAGACAGTATATTGTTTTGTTCCAGGACTTGAGTGGGTCTTCCTTTGACTTTTGCAAATATTTTGTCATATAGATATGGGACTGAAGTTTCCGCTGATAATAAATCAACCACAGGAAAGAAACTTGACAACCAGGAAAAAAAATTGATAAACCAAGATAAAAAGACATTAAGATTCAGGGACAGATCATATGTTGACCGAGATTCTGAATATCTTTTGCAAGAAAATGAACCAGATGTAACCTTAGACCAACAATTATTGGAAGATTTACAGAAGAAAAAATCTGATCTTCGGTATATTGAAATGCAGGTACAGTAATGGAAAGCAAGATGTGGAAAAAATGTTTACAGTCATTCTCATACTTGGGAGAAATGTATTTATGACTAAAAGTAACTGTATGTGTAGATCAGTGAAACTTCGCAATCAGACATCCTTTGTAGGATTTGTTGAAAAAAGGCAGTGGGGATAGAAATTAATGGAGCATACGGTCTGCGGTATCCTGTTTTACCTGCAGAAGTTCATGTGGCGAGGAGAAACGTTTGACGAATGCTAATGTCAGTGAAAACAAAAGTAGTCTAACTTTCCTAGATGAGTGTAGTGAGGTGTCCTAAGAGTTAAGGTAATTAGAATTGTAAAGTTTCTTCCAGATTATTTAACCTATTTATTTGCTTGCATAGATGATACATTAAAGCTTTCAAAAGTTTAAAACTCTGTGATGAGCATGTATTCACAAACAGTAAGTTTAGGATTGTTGTGAGGGCTGAACTTTTTCTGAAGTATTCTAATATTCCCACACTAGGAAAGATAGTTGAAGGTCCTTTCTAGTTAAGATGTAAAATTGTGTAATTTGTGGGTATTTTAGAGATAGATACAATAAAATATTCACATATGTACATAAAAATACTGAGGGAGTTCGAAGGATGCAAATACGTGCTACCATTTTTGAGAAAGCAGAACATCACATCTGTCTTCCAGCCATCACTGATGAAAGTTGGATTTTCTTATTAGAGCAGATGAATCCAGATTGTCCAGGGGACAGATTGTATAGCTCTTTAATGCCTCTGAGTATATAACTTGAGGATGGAGGCAATTTTTGAGATCAGTTAATTCACAGTTTTTGAGATCAATTAATTCATCAATTAATTCTTCTCTTGTGGCTAAGAGAAGAGCTGCTTTGTTAGCCTTAGGAACAGAAAGTGTTGGTTACTCTCTTTGCGGTAAACAAGAATTTAAATACAGTTATTAAAGATGGGTAATCTAGTTCAGATAAAGAAAAAATGTATAAAATATAAAAAGTTACTATTTCTAAGATGCTGTTCTAAATGCTTCACATGTACCAAAATACAAGTGTATTTAAGAGCTCAACTTTTTCATCCTTCTTGGTAATACCAATATTTTTTATGTGATAGTTTATATAGTAAACATTAATTTTCTACTTGCTAGATGCAGGTTATCATGCTGTACATTTTTTGAAGAGTAATGATGTTCTCTATGCTCAGACAGCTTATAATCACATTATCACCTGTCTCACTTAAAATTAGAAATTAGGAAATAGAAGGTTTAGCTGCTTTCTCTTGGGCTAAAGCGCTCTTTGGAGCACCATTTACATACACAGAATGCAAATAGGGATAATTCTAGTTTGAAAAATGTGGTGACTTCTTTTCAAACACTAAAATTAAGTTTTTAAGTTTTAATTAAGTTTTAAGACATCATAGTGCTTGTCAGTTTTGTGCTGTTAGTAACAACTAATATTAATAATAAGCCTGACAGTAATATATTAGATTACCTAGGGAGTTCCAGTTTTATTTACTTTTTATATTGAATTTCATTTTTTAAATTAAAGCTTTTTCCCCATTTCAATAGAATTTGTTAAAACTGGTGTATTTTTAGGCCACTGAAGATTGTTTTTATGTCACATGATACACTGAGTTGAATGCAAATCTTAATTGTCAGTGTTTCTAAGTAATATGGCTATGGGCTTTCAGGATTATGAAGAAGTTATCATATAAATAAAACACAATAAAAACAGTCTAGTGGTAATCCAACAAATTGTAAATTTGTTGAATGGCTCATGTGTGTCACAAACTGCTACTTGGTTTTTATGTAGTTTTTTTTGTCCTTTGGCAATCCTGAGATAGAAACTGCCTGGAGTGTGACCTAACTTTAGTTCTGAAATAATTCTGGATATTACTTATTTTTAGTTTTCTCTCACATTCAAAGACAAGTACCCTGAGATAATCTTTAATTTGCGTCATTGCCTGCTGCATTAGTAAGTGTGTATGTACGAGTAGAATGTGGTGTAGAGATCAGATCTAAGGTGAACATTTAAAACAAATAGAAAAACATGCGAAAAGTACGTTAGAGATTGTCGCAGTGCTTCTAGGTGATGGATCAGATTTCATTTTACCTCTAACTTTGTAGAATTGTTTCCGGTGTTACACTTAATAAAATTGTCTTTGAATGTTTTAAAAGTAAAACAACATTCTTTTTATAAGAATTTTTTTAAACACTTGATATGTTATACAAGCTAAAAGAGAATAAAAATACTTTTGGATTCTATTGTTTTTAAGTATGATATATTCTGATTATCATGATTATAATTTGATTGCATTTCTTTTGTGAAAATTAAAACCTTTGTTTTTCATTTCAGTGTTTCAGGGAAAAGCTTCCTTCTTATGGAATGCAAAAGGTAAAATGTTTTATACTAGTTAGATTTACAAATAAACACAGTTTTTTAAAAGTATGTTTAAAAAAAAAGGTATGTTGGCAGACCTTCTCCTAACAGGTAATTTGATTCTGTTGAACTGTTGAAGAGTGAAAGGAAAAATGTGATCATGAAGTAGTTTTCTTGGAAGTTTTACCATATTATATCCATAATTGAAGTCTCTAGAATTTTAAAAAGGCAGTTTTCATATATAAATTACTTTGGATTAATAGTCTGCTCTTTTAAGCACTTTAATTAAAATTGAGGCACTACTAAAATATAGTAGTTTAATTTTTTATACTTCATCACATGATTACTCTACATAGAATAATATAATCCCCCATCCTTCTCTAGCCTCCCAACCTTATTTATTTTTATTTTTCTTTGCTTTTCATAGCACTTATTACCACCTGACATCTGTGTGTCTCCCCTTCCTAGTCCAATGTAAGTTCTTGAGGACAGGGTCTACTTTATTCAAACTCTGTCTCTTGACTCAGAGCAGTTTCTGGCATTATATAGACATCTGGTAAATGTTTGTTGAATGAATGAATTTTATTCCACTTCTCAGTACAGTCGTCCCTCTGTATCCATGGAGGATTGATTCTGGGACCCACTGTGGATACCAAAATCCTCAGGTGCTCAAGTCCCTTATATAAAGGGCTATGTAGTATTTATATATAGCCTAACACATCCACTTCTGTGTTTGAAGGCATCTCTAGATAATTGTAATATCTAATATAAAATGAAGTTATTACACTGTATTGTATAGGGAAAAATGACTGAAGAGTTTAATACAAGCACAGCTATTTTTTCAGATATTTTTCATCTCTAGTTGGTTGATGCAGAACCCATGGATATGGAGGGCGACTATATTTACCAACTATCTTTGCAGTGTTCAAACATAATTTTTTTTGATACGTACAATGTGATAAAATACATGGAAAATTTGTTCAATGTAGATTTTCATGTTAAATTATTTTTAGGTAAAAATATAGCTTATTACACCCTTTTAAAGTGATAAGATGGTTAATAATAAAAATATTAATGTGTATATAAAATTTTTAAGACTATCTTTACTAAAGATGTGTTTTTGTAAATACCTGAACATTACCCATTTAACTTAGGTATTTAAACATGTATCTGTATTTTATTTGAAAGCAAATAAAACACACTAACACTGTTCGTTCCTAAAGTAATTTGTGTAACTTAGCCAGTAGGCAGTCGGTGGTTTGCTGCTGTGCCCAGAATGTCAGTATTCTTTTAATTTAATATTAGTATCTCTGTGTGGAATTTAGGAGCTATCTCTTCCTGTTCTTGTCACAGTGTTTTGCCTTAGCAGTTCCTTGGCTCTTGTGCTTTACAATTGGGTGCTTTCTCTTGAACATTGGTAATTTAGATATTCAAATTGCTTGCACTGCTTATGCCAGAATTTAAAAAGCATTAATATATTTGTTGAAATATATTTTTCAGTGCGGTAGAATTTTGATTACTGTCTTTGCATCTTAGCCTATTCTTAATTTATCTTCCCTTTTAAAATAGGAGTTGGTAGATTTAATTGATAAACACCAGGTAACAGTAATAAGTGGTGAAACTGGTTGTGGAAAGACCACTCAAGTTACGCAGTTCATTTTGGATAACTACATTGAAAGAGGAAAAGGATCCGCATGCAGAATAGTTTGTACTCAGCCAAGAAGAATCAGTGCCATTTCAGTAAGTAAATCTCTCGCTTTTTTATCTCCTATTCTCCTATAAATAATTTTGGTGGAACTTTCTATTTTTAAGAGTTGGAATGATTCTTAATCAGGGTTAATATTTGTTGCCAAATATTTTCAAGGCCAAAAGATTGATGATAATCCCTCTCATAGATAATAGTTGTTTATGAGTTGAAGATAAATTATTAATCCAGGAAAATTTCAGTATAAATCCAGAAGAATGAAAAGTGAGTAAAATGTTCATAGAATAGGTGATGAGTTCTAAAATCTTCCTCCTTATTAGAAGGCTTAAAGTTTTCCACTTGTTTTATTTGTTCAGTTCTCCGTTATTTTAGTATATAATTGTACTGAGTCGTGCTGACACTGGGAAGCCTTATCTTGTTTAAGCTGTGCTTCTGTAGTCAGTGGTTAGATAGAGCTACTCAATCAGAGGGACGCTTTATCATGAGGAAAACTAAGGCATTGTTGGGTTTTTTTTACCCGCATGATCTGTGTAAGTACAAATTTCAGGACAGCACATGTAACAGTTATAGGTACACTTTTATAAATAACATTTTTTAGGTGGATTTTATTGTCTTTAGTTTGAAGACCTATGTATGGGTTATATACTCTTTGAAGATGTTTGGGATTTCTTAGAACATTCAATGAGTATTGTGAACTATATGATAATGTCTTGTATAATTCTCTGTATAAATTAAATTACGCAGCTTTAGTGCTATCTTTAATTTTATGGTAGTGCTGTTTATCACATTACTGAGTGATTTCATACAGGATCTGTGGTTAGGAATTATGTTACCAATGATTATAGCCATATTTGAGGGATAAATGGGAAACATTTTAAGCTGTGTACAGTATGTGTTTAAGTGGAGCAACAGTCTTCAACCCTTTTGGAGGTTAAATGCCTAGGATCACAGAAGAGCGAAAAGTAAACTTGTCATAACACAGTTGTATAGCTACACTGATTTTCATTACTGGATGGGAATATATATATGCATGTATATGTATACGCAGATATACACAAGATGAAGAAATGCTAATTATAGTTTTTTGTTACTTTTTTCTTATTTTTCCAAGCTTTGCTTGAATTTGTGCAGATTAATATGGCCTGAGTTGTGTATAATGGATGTATTTGTTGGAAAGGTTTACTTCTAGAACATAGCAATTGTCATTTTTGCTTCTAATCTCATTTTATCACTGTTCTGTGTCAAGGTAACTTGGTTACTTTATTGAGTCTTTTGCCCAGTTTTTATTTGGCAGTCAATAGTAAGAAACTGAACAATACCAGTCTCTATCACAAACAAAGCAACTAAAACCAGGAACAAGACAAGTGTATGTGTGTTCTTAAACTTCATATTACAAATTTTGCACATTTGGCCGTGCTTTCAACTAAAGTCAGAAAGAAAAGTAGAAATTATTGAGAGGAGTGTCCCAGCACAGGAACTTTGAGAATAATGATAAGGAAGAATTTGGCCTTGAAGGACATTATAAGGGTAAATGAAAAGTGTGTGTAAGAAGTAGGTTTTCTACAGCTTTTAAGAAAGTTTTAAATAACTCAGATTTCAGAAAGTTTTAGATACCTCAGATAAAATAGCTATTTTAAACTCATCTGAAATTCTGAAGAACTATTTTTCATCAATATTGAATTTTCAAAGATGATCAGGATATTTGTCCTAAAGGAAATTGTAACTGTGTTTGTGATTCTTTGTAACTGTGTTTTATTTAAATTTAAGGTTGCAGAGAGAGTGGCTTCGGAAAGAGCAGAATCTTGTGGCAATGGTAATAGTACCGGGTACCAGATTCGTCTCCAAAGGTAAAGAGCGTTCATTTCTTGGATAGGTAGATTTTAGTGAAATTCTGAAACAGAAGTTCAAAAGAAAGTACTGATGATTACTGTTCTTATACTGCTTATTACTATTAAAATTAACATTTAAAGCAGCTGCAGCATAGATAGCTTGCTACCGTAGTCTCACCTTTTCACCCCAAAATACCTTTTAAAAAATGTACGTCTGCATTATAGAATGATTAGAAAAATAACTGTAGTAGACGACCATCATTTCTGCTCTAAGGAGTTGGTGTTCTGCACCTTCCTGTGTTACCAACCAATCCCTCATGGACTGTATTCTTAGGTTTTTGGTATCTTGAATGCCCGCCCCCCCATTCATCTCTGCTAAATTTCTTCTGTCCTTTTCTAGAGCCAGGATTCCTTTACCTATTTAAATGAGCACTTCTAAAATGTTCAGTGTGAAGGTTTCCTTTTAAACTGTTGCTTAAAAGTAAGGTATTAGAAAAGAAAAGCAAGACTAAATTATACGTCTCATTCGCAGTCGATTGCCAAGGAAACAGGGCTCTATCTTGTACTGTACGACAGGAATCATCCTTCAGTGGCTCCAGTCAGACCCGTGAGTATGTTTCAATTAAAGAATTATAGATTACTATTAAAAGATACAATTATCAAATTGCATTTTCCTAGTTAATTAAAGAATAATGATTGTTTTTAAGTTTTGCAGTGAGTTCATGCTTCACACTTTTTGTTTTAGGCATTTGTCCAGTGTTAGTCACATTGTACTAGATGAAATCCATGAAAGAAATCTTCAGTCAGATGTTTTGATGACTGTTATTAAAGATCTTCTCAATTCCCGCTCTGACCTGAAAGTAATATTGATGAGTGCAACACTGAATGCTGAGAAATTTTCAGAATACTTTGGTGAGTAGTATTTGATTATTACATAGAGAAGGGACCAGAAAACCACCACATCTAACTTTTTACAAAACTAAGATAAGCCAGGCGTGGTGGTGCATGACCATAATCCCAGCACTGAGAAGGCTGAGGCAGGAGGATTGCTGCAAGTTCAAGGCCAGCCTGAAACAAATCGCAAGACTGTCTCAGAAAAAACAAAAGAGAAAACTAATGTAAATAAACGTTGCGTAATTCTAGTTTTCTGCATCAGAGAACTGGGCCTATTTTTTAATGGCGCCTCATGGCTTTTCCATACTAAACACCAGTAGTTTCTTGGTTCTGTCAAGAGGTGGCATCATTAAGTCAAACCACACATCGAATAACTTTATAAATACCTTGTGGTGATTCTTCTGTGTTGTCTGTGTGCTGTCACAGGCTAGAATGACAGTTTGCTCATGATAATACAGTATCAGTGACCTTATGGAATACCGTCAGAGTGTATTTGAGATTTCTTCTATTAATCCTTGTGAAGCCTTATGTTGTATGGAGTGTGATTAGGCCCAGTTTTACAAATGACAAAACAGCCTAAGAGCAGTGAAGTAACTAACTCAGGGTGGCATTATTAACCAAAACACAAGAGAATCTGAAACTAAATCTGACAAGCTGCAAAATGTTTTCCTTTGAAATTATGCCTCTCTTATCTTTCCTGCTTATAATTGTGTTGGAAGAAAGAAAAAAGGGAGGATATTAAAATGCGGTGTATATTTAGTAAATGTTGTTGTTCGCAGCTTTTAAAAAAGTGCTTTAAAATACATCCCGTTAAACCATTGTGAGATTAATTATAGCAGATATTATAGTATAGTGGTGATATGTTTTAAAAATTTATTAGACACCTAGAACTGACATTGAGTGTCTTGCTCAGACTTACCCAGGTCAGAGGCAGAGCAGTGGTGGCGCAGATGCTTAACCTCCAGTGCTGTCTTGGCCTTTATATACAGCATGTGTTGCTTGTTACTCAGTATAAATGGTATTTAAATAACAGTACTGAGGTGATTTTTTTTAAACTGGTGATTTTGAAATAGTATTAATACTTCATTAAGTCTTATTTTGAACACTCCCTCACTCCCCAGACCCTGGTTGCCACCAGGGGTAAGGCCAGTTGCGGTACAACTTGAATTCTCATGCAGCACTGTTTTGGCTAACGATGGAAACAAAGTAGATATCCAGTGGGTTTTCAATTCAATTGTAATTGGCTCTAGCTTTTCAAGGTGTTACGTTACTTTGTAGAACTGACTTGCGTATACAGCTTGTAAGGACAGAAGTGAAATATTGAGGACTAGATTGCTGTCTTTAGTAAAACTAGATTTGGAAAAATAGCAATACTACAGGACCTTTTTCTAAAGTTAGGAATATTAATAGACTCATTTTTCTATTTACAATATGAGATTTTTTTAACATTGGAATACAAATTAATGTTTATGTTTTTTCTGTTATGACAGGTAACTGTCCAATGATACATATACCTGGTTTTACTTTTCCGGTTGTGGAATATCTTTTGGAAGATATAATTGAAAAAATAAGGTAAGTGGCCATTAGGAATAAAAGTTGCAGATATGTAGCTTCTGTCATACTTTGTCAATCTTAGAAACTTGACATTGACCACTTCCTTTTAAGTCATTATTTTTCCATGGATCCAGGGATTTTCAAATGTGGCTACACATTAAAATTACCTGGTGTTTTAAAAAGTCTGGATAAGCCGAGTGTAGTGGCGCATGCCTGTAATCCCAGCACTTGAAAGGCTGAGGCAGGAAGATCCTTGTGAGTTCAAAGCCAGCCTGAACTGTGTAGTGAGATCCTGTCTCAAAAAAAAAAAAAAGTGAAAATAAAGTCCAGATGGCCCATTCATATTCCATACTTAATTATATTACAGAGTTTGGGTTCATTTCCGGGAATCACTAGTTTTTAAAGATCCTTGGTCAGCAGAGATTGGGGACCTATTTGGTGGTTTTTTTTTTATGATTTTCCTACCTGTTTATTATTCTCCTTGGCTGGCATCCATTGCCCACCTTTTAAATATGATTTATCCTATATTATCTGTCTTTTGTCAACTTTTTGTGTATATTCTGGAATCGTGTCTATTCCTATGACTGTAGGTCTATTTTTACAACTCTTAGCTTTGTGCCTTCAGGACTGAAGCTCTTCCTGAATGCTCTTGTCTATCCAACAGCATTCTAGTATCATGAACACCTTGAACCTAACATTTTTTAAGCCATTCATTTCTTTATTTGACCCTACCAATTTCTCACCAAAACAGTGTGCCTTGCCAAGTATATCTTGTAATAAATAATGATACTGATTTTCCATCCTGTTTTCTGTATTATAAATTTAAAAAGCTAATACATACTTATCAAGCAGTTAAGTACCAGGTATACTAGCTGCTTTTTCCACGCTCAGTAGCTAAGTTCCTCCAACTCATTTTGTGCTTTATCTCAACACACACAATTCCTTCCCATTCTTCTTTCACTAAAGTGTTTTATTGTCTGTCCTTTGTTAATGCAATGGTCCCTTTTTTGGTATTCTGATCTGTACTCTTCTAAAACAAATCTGATCACATGAGCTCTCCCCTCCCGCCAGACAGGCCTCTTGCATATGACATGTCCCTTTAAAAATTCCTTTAAAGAGTCTTGTAAGTTTTTACATGTCCTATAGCAGAATATCTCATTATCTGTCTAAGTTATCCACTCAGCCTTCTGGCCACTGGCTTTTAGAGTCTGACATACTGGGCTGTACAAAGTTATATTTGTATTCTGTGAGGAGAAAAAGACTAGCAAAGCAGAGCCCCTAGTGAAAGACCGGAAAGTCAGGAAAGCAATGCAATAGTATGAACAAGGAGAATGTATTTCAGACAGGGTAGAATGCTAATAATGAGAGAGACAGTATGTTATTGTCTTCTGTGCCTTGATTTTATCATCAGTGGTCACACGTTTTCTGTGTGTTGCCTTCTGATTTCTACTTTCTACCATGTGGTGCATTTGGCACTTGTAAGAAAATAATAGGCAACAGCTTGATGATAACAAAAATTAACTTTGTTTTTTTTTTGGTTTTTCTCCGGTACCAGGAACCCAACTCACGACCTTGCGCTTGCCAGGCAGGCGCTTTGCTGCTGAGCTAAATCCCCAGCCCCCAAAAATTAACTTTGAAGGACCTCTAATCTAAAGTTACATGATGATAAATTGCTTTCATATACTTCCAAAAAGATAAGTAAGGTACTGTATAGCTAAGGAATCTCTTAAAGCAAAGAGAACAACATATGTGTATAGCTTTAGGAGGAGAATTGACAGAGATTGGTCCATAGCTAGAGCTTTCCATCAGAAGTCCTCAACTGTCCTTTTCCCTAAAGAAGAGCTGAACAGCAGAGAGGTAGGAGGGAAGAAACACAGTGGCCAGACCAGGAGTAGGGTCAGATGGGAGGGGTTAGGCACAGGTGCCTCTGGCTTGGTTCAAGGGGTTACCTTGTTTTTTGGAATTGTTGGAGAAGGAGCAGCTGTGTAAGTCCATCCTGTCAATTAGGACCAGTCTCTGTCTCAAGTTGCCCTTTGTCAGGTTGATGTCTGCGTATGTGTCCAATACTTACGGGACTCTTGGGTCATAGGTACTGTCCTGAGTAGGAAGGGGATTAACACTGGTGTTTACTGTCTTACCAGGCACTGTGTTCTTCTTTATCACTATGTCTTTTCAGTTCTTGGGCCACAATACTATTAAAGAACATCAGTTGTTCAAACAAGACAGACAGCTAGAAATTTAATACTTGGTGTAAGATCATATATAGCTAGTCACTCACAGAGCAAGGACGTCAGTTGGATTCCACCTGACTCCAAAGCACCTGCCCCACCCCCCCTTCCCATTGCATCTAGGCGGTGACCTCTAGGTTAACTCAGAGAATCTGGGTTAAAGTGTAGCGTACGTTTGCTCTGTTTTTCCTCTCTCTTCCTCATGATTTTCACAGTGCACAACAGAAAGGAAGAATTATTCGAGTGGTAGATGGACACACAAATATTTGAATGCTGATTCAGTATCTGCCATTAGCTATAGCTATGAACAGAAGTAGAGTTTTCTGGCATGAGTTAATAGATACAGTGGTACCTCAGTTCACGAACTTAATTCTATGATTCTGGTTGTAACCAAATTGGACGATGTGGCAGATTGACAACTGGTGGTCAACTGGTAACACCCAGCTGAACTGAACCAACATGGTGCTGGGTGTGGGAGGCCCACCTGAGGATTATTGCCAGCAGCGTAAGAGGCAGAACTGGAGGGGGAGAAGTTCAGAAGCTGTGGGGTGCTGTTAGAAGCTATAGGGAGCTGTTGGTTTTCCTGGAGGAACTTGTCATGCTGGCTTCCCTGATGAACTTGGCTGTTTTCGTCAGAGGATCTCGGGAACTTACTGTCACTGAGAATAGCTGTGGTTCACTTTGGGGGAGCTCTAGTCCTCACTTCAGGCGTCGCTTCCTGGCTCGGGAGGAGAAGATGGTGCACTGCTCAGTCTCCAAGAGAAGAATCTTGGCTTTCTTGATGGGAACTTGGCTGTTCTCATCATCAGAGGAGCTCGCTACCTCACTGTTGCTGCGCATGGCTGTGGTACTTTTCAGGAAAGCTGTGGTTCTTTCTTTGAGCATCACTTTCTGGCTCCCAAGGAGATCCCTCAGTCTGGTGGCATAGATGCTTCATCCCACTGGCGCACACTTTCTCGTTTCCACCACTGACCTTTGGGTCTTCCCAGTGCAGACATGTGAAACAGGCCTGCATGAGGCATTGTCGTCGTGGGCTCTGGGCCTTCAGTTGGACTCATGGGAGGCACTGTTTTGAGCTCTAGGTCTTCAGTTGTTCTCAGGCAGGACATTTCCATGGGACCCAGGCCCTCAGCTTATTCTTTGGTCTTTAGTGTGGACAGTCTTCCTGTACTCTTTTTGTATATGACTCTTTGGGTAACTATTATAAAGTAATTTATAATTAAGTGTCCTGTGTTGTATTGTTTCCCCTTGCAAAACTCCAAACTACAACAGACAAAAACTGAATCAGATTTCCCCATAAGGTCAACATTGAACCTAGCCATTGAATTTGATTTGGTTCTCACGCAATTTGGTTTGTGACCAGAGTCTTGGAATTCACTTTGGGAGCCAAAGAACCACTGTATATGGCTACACTGTTTGAGCTTCCTGGGGTGACTAATTAGAATTCTTAATGTACCAGACCAGAATCCAAATCAAAATGGATATGATTTGAGAATCCATATTTTACAAGTGTCCCAGCAGATTCTTATGTAAAATTAGGTTTGGAAAATTTTTTAAAGCCTGGATCTTTCTACAAAACAGTTGGTAATTGTACTTTGAACTTACGTTGATGTTAACTTTTATTTTCAAATGAACTTAAAATTGAAGATAAAAGCTAATTGTACTTTTTAACAGCTAAAGATGGTCTAAAGTTTTGTATATTTCAGTAGAGAAGAATATTTTTTCTGTAACATCAAGTTTTATGTATTAGTAAACACTTACTAATAAGATTTGACCAGCAGTCAGTGAAAAGTTTGGTGAAGATGTTTTTAAGAATCCTTTTTTAAAATCCTCGACCTAAGAAGTCACAGACATTAGGTAAAACCAGAGTTTCAAAACTGTGTGAAGATACTTAAGGAAACTTTTTATTTTAGATACATTCCAGAGCAAAAAGAACACAGATCCCAATTTAAGAGGGGTTTCATGCAAGGGCATGTAAATAGACCGGAAAAAGAAGAAAAAGAAGCAATCTATAAAGAACGCTGGCCAGATTATGTGAGGGAACTGCGAAGAAGGTGAGCTTATGTTGAAAGTAAAAACATGGTGCTGAATGATTAAAACGGAAAGTTGGGGTTGACTCCTCAATTTTGTACATACTTGAAGGAAACTGTCTGTTGAACACTGTTGATTGGACATGTAAACATTTATTACCACGTTAATTCTCTCCTATCTGTGGTGTTTCTCCATTTTCAGATTGACTTCATTGTAAGCTGTTAAAGCAGATTAAACCAAAAGAAACTTTATGAGGCATTTCATGACTTTGTGTTTATAATTTTGATAGGTACTCTGCAACTACTGTAGATGTTTTGGAAATGATGGATGATGATAAAGTTGATCTAAATTTGATTGCTGCCTTAATTCGGTACATTGTTTTGGAAGAAGAGGTTAGTTTTCATTTTGGTTTTTTCCTTCAAGTAACATAATTTTAATTTCATTAATATGCCAAGGCCATGAAAAATAATTTTCTTAAATGCTTTTAAAAAATAGGCTGTAGAAGGAGCTGTTTTTAGAAATAATCTCAAGATAGCAAGGTGCTGGGGCACTTACTCAAAGGAAGGACTAAACAGTTGAAATCTCTGGATTATAAATCTTGTTTTTAAAAGTCAGCTAGTATTTTTCAGGTAGTAATTATGTTATCCAGAGCTAGTAGAATTTGAATGAAGACTTAATTTGCACAGAGTTTTACTGTTAGTGTATTTTGTTGATGTGATCTTTTTGTAATGACTATTTCCTTTCTGCATAGGAGGGTGCAATACTGGTCTTCCTGCCAGGCTGGGATAATATCAGTACTTTACATGATCTTTTGATGTCACAAGTGATGTTTAAATCAGGTATTATGTCAGTGTATTTTATTACAATTTCAAGAGAGATATGTGAATCATGTAGTTTGTTTTTTCTTCTGTAACTTGAAGTGTTGCTTCTTAGGCTTCCTCAATGTGGAAATTTGGTATTTTAAGTCTAAATTGCTCTTCTTTTCTTTCCTTTCATTTTGCTTTTCTTTTTCTTTTAAGAAGTCAGTTCTGTTTTTCAAGTCAGAAACAAAGTGTTTCTGTGTATATAGTGAAGCTCCTTAAAATTTACCTAATAAAATTAAGCCTTAAAGTTAAAAATCGGCATTTGGATTTTTTTTATTTTGTTCATCCACCAGGAGTTTACTTAGTGGTAGGGATAGAGTTAGAAAAGATTACTCTTGACTTCGTTGTTTTGTTTGCAATACTGGAGATTGAATCCAGGGCCTTGTGCCTGCAGGCAAAGGCTGTACCACCAAACTACGCCCCAAGTTTTTTTTGTTTTTTATTTTGAGACAGGGTCTCATTCTTTAAGTACCAGGCTGAGCCCAAACTTGCAATCTCTTTGCCTCATCATCCCGTGTAGCTGGTATTGCAGGCCTGCACCATTACACTTGTCTTACTGCCAGCTTTTGAGCATTCTTCAGGAATTTGGACAAAATATTTATCAATGTAAAATAAATGGTAAAAGAAAATGTCAGCTGAAACTTGCTGAGGCAGTCAGAAAATAAAGAATTAAGTCGATTTGTTTTTGTGTAGAAATGTAAATTAAGAATTGTTTAGTTCATCAGCTGAATTCATTGTTCTGTATATGTTTAATAGGCCTTTTCTGCATCTCTTTAAAGCTTAATTTATTTTTAAATTTTCAGATAAATTTATCATTATACCATTACATTCACTGATGCCTACCGTAAATCAGACACAGGTACGTTGTTAAATATATTTGTTTTCTTTTAAGCTGAAGCACATTTTAGGAACTGGTTTTTGTGTTTTAATTTTTTTTTTAAAGAAGCGTTTTCAGAGTAATGCATATGAATCCATACTTCCTTGAGTGTCTTAAATGGTGCTTCAGGGATGACTGCACAAAACACTGACTAACAAAGGGTAATCCAAAAATCAAATTAGTTTTATCAACATTAAAGAAAAGTTTAAAAAATTGATTTCACCAACAACTTGTATGGGTTTCCTGGATAAAAGAAAAAGATATATGTATATCACTAGAAGTCATTCAACCTGGAAATTCATCATCTGTGATATACTATGGCTTGAAGTTTGAGATTTTTATTTTGCACTTAATGTATCAGCAGATATGAGATTTCCTGTTCATTAATAATGTATTTGTGTTTTGGCTCTGTGAGATACAAAGATTTCCCTAATTAGACTGTATACTTCATTCTTAGAAGAAAGGTCATTTCTGTACAATATGGTTTTAAGACCCTGGTAAATTTAATACATCAGAAAAGCTATACTTTTTTTTTCCTAGTTTCTCCACCTCTTCCTTGCAAGAAAAAAAAAGACTGTTTGCTCTGTTAGGTCTGGTTAAGACTCAGGCAGCTAAATGAGTTACAGAGTCCATATATGAGGGAAAGAGGGAAAGAATGAACTTTTGATCCCAAATGTAGAAAGAGTATTTAGTGTATAGGTACTTCAGTCTTTATCCCCAAAACTAGTAAAGTATGTATTGTTTTGTTGGAGAGTATGTGACCTGGCCAGGAAACATTTTTCTTCTTTAATTACTGTTTTTATAAATGAATGGATAGGTGTATGCCTTTCTTTTGCATTGTAGCCAGTGGTACTTGACTATATGTCTTCCTTCTTTGGTTGCATTATCAGCGGTAGACAGAATTATTTGTAGGGTTCATTATCTGAAGAGCTGGTTTTGCTTTATTACTCCAGTGTAATTGCAAATTATATAATGGTTCAGCCAACTGACATCCATTTTGATTGCTTGGGCCTTGGTGATCTTACCTGTGTAGGTTTTACCTCACAGTTGTTATCTTTAAACTTTTTTTTCTGTACCTCCTTCTTTTGTTGAACTATGTTCCATAAATTCAAATTTTTTTGAAATCTGTAAGCTGATTTAAGATTTATAGTGATGTATATTTATTTTACAAATATAACTAAAAATAGATACATATGTTAGTGATTGAACAGAGTACTAAAAATGAATGGAATCTGAATTACAATAATATGTAACAGAAATTAATGTACGCTTAGGATTTTAATGTCTTCATTCTTACAGGTATTTAAAAGAACTCCTCCTGGTGTTCGGAAGATAGTAATTGCCACCAACATCGCAGAGACTAGGTAAAAATAGTTTTCAGTGTAAATTATTGATACATACGGAAGTTTCAAGCCCTGTAAATGACTAGTATACCATATCTTTTTTTCTGTACAAGATGCTTGTAGTTTCTTAAAGTTCTTTCTTTTAAACTTAGTCATGGTAGTAACCATAGCTTTATTTTTTGGTTTTGTTTGTTTTAACCTGTGCTACTCTTTTAGCCCTTTTCATCAACATGGCCTTTTAAGTGGGTTTTTTTTTTTTTTTCAATGCTTTTTAAAGAAGCACAGGAACTTGGGTCAGTTTGGTTCTGGTTGCCGGGGATATTATTTGATAATTAGTTACTTAAAACGATTCTATACCCTTAAGGTGCTATATATAGCTTAGTCACTGAAAAGATTATTTTATAGATCTGGTATTAAACCGTGGCATTCGGGGGACCCACATTATTAAGCGTAGGAAAATACTGAGAAGGCTACAGAGTCTGGCCGTGGGCAAGTAAGAGTTTAGTACGCGGCCTTCAGAGTCGGCACTGTGAGCTACTCACGCGGCCGTCCACTAGTTGCCTGCTCCCTATAGCGCTGGTAAATATGAGAGGAGTGGTAATAATTCTCTAAAAGCCATCTATAGACTTGCTACAGGCTAATGGTGATTCGATGTGTTTTTAATATTTTTGTATCTATTTTCCAAACAGCATTACCATAGATGATGTAGTTTTTGTGATAGATGGAGGAAAAATTAAAGAGACACACTTTGATACTCAGAACAACATCAGTACAATGTCTGCTGAGTGGGTTAGCAAAGCCAATGCCAAGCAGAGGAAAGGCCGAGCTGGAAGGTAAGATGGGACCCTTATCCAAAGCATTTAGAAGCCCACAAAACTTTTCCTGTAGCAAGATATGTCACTATGATTTAAAAATATTACTTACTAAGAGTTAGCTTCCGTATTTTAAACTTAATACAGCACAGTTTTAAATGAGAAAATTGTTGTAGTTAATAGTATTTGGGAAAGTATCTGCCACATTTGCTGATTTGTAGATGTTTTATTTTTAGTTTCTTAGTTCATTTAAATTAGATTCTTTATGCTGCAGATGGTTTTTCCATTCTTTTTTTTTAATGTATAGTACTTAATAAGACCTCATGCTATGTGCGTGTTTGATCATTGCCTAACCTTTCAATGTAATTAACTTTGTGTAATCTTCCTTAGAGTGCTGAGGTAGATAGGTTATTATCACCACTTTCAGAGTAAGAAAATGAATATACAGAGAAATAATTTGGGCCAGTCATATAGTTCAACAGCGCTCAGGGTCCTGAGTTCAGTTCCCAGTACAAAAAGAAAAAATAATAATTTGACGTCACAAGATTTTGTAGAAGTAGAGCCAGATTTTGAGTCCAGGCAATCTACCTACTAGTCCGTGTACTTGGTAGCCATTTGATTTTTCACCAGTTGTTAACAACGTGAACACAGGAAAGTACTTTTTTTTCATTGATGTAGTAAATAAGAATCTCTCTTTGCTAAGGAAAAATACAAAGTATTTGCTTTGAACTTCTTCCTTTTAATGCATACTTCATACTCTTATTCATGCAAATGATAGAATCATGTCTGGAGCTGCATTAGAGTTTTTCTTTTATCTCTACAAAGTAGAAAAGACTCCCATTCATTTTCAGATACAGACCTATTTAAGAGAAAGACAGTTGAATGAAAGCTTTACTAACCATTTTGTTAACACTTTGAGTTTGCACTCTAAAATTCTGACCCACTGGCATGATCTTCACAGATTACCTATGATGAGTTGGTTTCCAAGTGGTTTATTAAGGTTGTGCAGTTGATGTTTTGGCCTAGTCGTTCCTTTAGCAAAGTCTAATGATGAGGTCATTTTGGAGGCAACCACATGTGCCTCATTGGGAGTATTTTTGATTTCTATAGAGACACATTATATAGTTATGATTCTACATAGACCTGTTGCGAGAATTTTTAGAATTTGTGTTTTCTTACAGCAGCAAAAGCCTATAGAAGTATTTACTCTGCTTGAATACTGCATAAATTGCTGTCATTTCTTCACATCTGACTTTAACGTTGTTGGAAAAGTGCTATCACTCATGTCACTAGTTGCCAATATGAAACTGAAATTTCTAGTGTCCCTCTGAGAAGTCACTAAATAAAAAGTGCTTAAAATCTTTTTAAATGACACAGGCCAACATAATGCCATGTATCTACAGGCACATTTGAGTTTATAACTCTTCATCTTGACCTGAGATGCTCAGTTCATACTTAGCACGGTCATCCAGAATCTGTCAGCAGTAGGGAACCAGAGCGCTGGCCGGGCTGGGGAACCTCATGTTTCTTATGAAACAAACTGACATATGATATCAGAATGCAGTTAGCTAGAAGGAATGAGTTCTCCTGCTGTGTAGCACAGCGGACTGACTAGTTCATAGGAAAGCGTTACATATGTTATTTGTTTGTTTTTTTTGTTTTTCTCCGGTACCGGGAACCGAACTCACGACCTTGCGCTTGCCAGGCAGGCGCTTTTGCTGCTGAGCTAAATCCCCAGCCCCCGAGTTACTTATGTTATGAAGAACTAACAGAGGCACTTGAAGGCTTCAAAGTAGTAATGAGACAGAAATGCCAATTACTGCCTTATCCTACATATTTTGATATATTAAGCCTTATTTCGTGATTTGATCCGTGCATGTTGTATGCATCTATCTAAATGTCAAACACTATACCTCATAAATGTGATGATACAGCATACTAATTAAAAAAGAAACACCGGGGTCCAAAAAACAAACCAAAAAAACCCCAAAGTTGACACCTTGGGAAAGAGGCTTCAGGGTTTTTCCAGAACAAGTTGGAAGAAAGAAATGAGGTTCATAGAAATGAAATACTAATTATGTGAAACACTTTTGTGGCTTGTAAGAAAGAGGTACTGGCTGCTTGCCCTTCTCAGTCCCTTTCTCTGGAGTTCTAAAACTCCCTTTCTCTGGAGTTCTAAAAAGTCATTGATAATGCTTTTGAGGGTTTTTTTTGTCTTTTTCTTTCTTTTTAAAGAGTTCAACCTGGTCATTGCTATCATCTGTATAATGGTCTTAGAGCAAGTCTTCTAGATGACTATCAACTACCAGAAATTTTGAGAACTCCTTTGGAAGAACTTTGTTTGCAAATAAAGGTAAATTAGGTGGGAGAATGAAGAATTTAAATAGGATGTAGTACTCTAATTTCCAACATCTTTTATAGAAAAAGCTACTGTAGTAATCTATAAGAACTTTTTATCGTGTCCCAGCAAACCATTTGAACTTCCTCAGATGTCTATTACATAGTGTATAATTATGGGCTGTTCTGGAGCCAAGCTTCCTATATTTGAATCCCACATCCTCCCTGAAACTTGGACAGATTATCTAATTGCAGGTAAATTCTTAGAGGAGTACGATATGTAGTACATGTTCAATAAATGTTACCTACTGATACTACATCTTAAGATTTATCTATCCACTGTTAGAAACTACTTAGCATTTTTTTGCATCCTACATATTTTGATATATTAAGCCTTATTTCGAAGATAATCAGTAATCCACTTTTGAGATTTTAATCAGCTGCTTTTCAAGAGTTACTGGTAGATAGCATTACATTGACCTTTAAATATGTTTTATAGAGTCACAGATATACTTTTTAATTTATTTGCTAAAATAACTAACTTGAAAATGATTCATCAGTTTTGGTGGTTTAAATTGTTATGTCAATATATTATTTATGCTTAATTATTTTGTCTTCCCCACAGATTCTAAGGCTGGGTGGAATTGCTTATTTTCTGAGTAGGTTAATGGATCCACCGTCAAATGAGGCTGTGTTGCTCTCCATAAGACATCTGATGGAACTGGCAAGTTTGATTTTTTTCAGTAATACGTGTTGTAGTGCATAATGCTTACACTCTCGTGTAGTATGCGTACATGTACGTCGGAATTCCTTGTTTAATCCCCTTTTCCTCCCTTCTTACCACGTCCATCTCTTGCTCTTCCACTGTGAGAAAGATCTGTCTCCCTGCTTCCTATTATCTGTCTTTTATGTTGCTCTTTATTTATATTTTGGGCTTTCCATATACGAGAAACCATGCAGTATTTAAACTTGTTTGTCTGGTTTATTTCACTCAATATTACGGTCTCAAGGTACGTCCATTTTTCTGCAAGTGACTTGTTTATCTTTCTGTATGGCAGAAACAGTAAAAGTAACTGGAAATGTACACACAGTACTCTGTGTGTACATTTTCTTTATCCATTCACCTCGTGATGGACATACAGGCTGCTTGTGAGATTTAGCTGTTATTATTATTATTTTTTTTTTTGTCTTTTCTTCCGGTACCGGGAATCGAACTCACGACCTTGCGCTTGCCAGGCAGGTGCTTTGCCGCTGAGCTAAATCCCCAGCCCCAAGATTTTAGCTGTTATGACTTGTGCTGCTATAAACATGAGTATGCATTAACACTTTCAGGAAGACACTTAGAAGGGAAATGGCTAGGTCAAATGGAATTTCTAGTTTTAGTTTTTTGAGGAATCTCCACACTTCTTTTTTTTCTTTAAATTCCAGCTTAGTATTAAAGCATGTAAGTCAGTAGATCAATAAATGTTAAAATATCAAATTTGATTTATTATTAGACTTTGGCTTAGTATATGAGGTATTAATTAGGAAGTTATAAGACCATACTTTTGGCATGTTCTTTTACTATTAGGCTTTTTCTATACTTTTTTTTTTTTACTGCAAGCCTGATCTAAAATACATGAAATTTTAAATTCTTTAGTTGCTGATTTTTATACATATTCTTGAAACAAACTTGGCTTAGTCTACTTTTCCTATCAATGTTTTTTGTCAAATTCAGGTAAATTAATGATACTATGGATATTTTATAAGGGCAACTCTTTAATTTCTTTTAAAGGAATACTAACAAAATAGCCATTGTCCAAAATGCGTAAGTCCTCAACCTGTGATTTTTTTTTGAGATGCTAGTTCCAGTTTTAAGCGACCACTTAGGCATCACTCTCGTATAAGACCATATTAAGAAAGGAGCAGAACTTGTTGAGTTAATGCTCACAGTAAAGAGAAAAGCACAGAGAGATCTACCGTGAGGTCAACTGTGCGCTACACCTGCAGCCTTTGTATAGCAAGTTAAACTGAATTAAATTAAAAATTCAGTGTCTCAATTCTTATCACACATTTCAGATGCTCAGTAACACATGTGGCTACCTTACTGGGCAGCACAAATATCGAATATTTCTGTCTTTTATAAGTTCTCTTGGTTAGGGTTGGATTACAGTTAGTCAAAGACATGTTTTAAATATTTCACAGGTTTTTTGGGGAGCCGTCCAATTTTGATGATGTAGACATACTGGAACATCATATCTCTTAATATAATAGCTATTTAAATGAAAAAACGTTGTAAGTTACTAACCATCTCCACTGGAATTTGGATTAGATTTAGTGAGATCACTGGAATTTAGGAAGTAGTGAGGTTTTACTGTTGGCCGCTCCTCGCAGCCAGACTTTTAGCTGGTGCAGTGTCATGCTGAGAGGTAGGTGGTGAGCAGAGAATAGTACAGATGGGCAACCAGAGGACACGCCTCAACTCTGAGGCCCAAGTGCAGCGGTTTCCTCTCTCCTAACGGAATAAAAGAGCAAGTCTGTCATTTACAGGTAATACATGAAAAGGACAGCAAATATTTGCCATATCTGCCAGCAAATACTTGCCAATTGTGGGATGAGACCCACAGTTTTTTAGAATACTTTTTATTTTGAAATACAGCATGCACATCCAGGAAAAGTGGGAATAAATATATACCCTTACTTTCTGACGAAGGCAGTATTGCGTAATAATTACCCAGGTGAAGAACATACTCAAAAAGCCCCCTTCGTGTGCCCTTCCAGTTACTTCCAGGACCCTTTGTCCTCAAGATAACCTCTATCATAATTTCTGTCCTGACCGTTGGTAATCTGTACTTGGTTTGTCATACAGCATGTTTGTAAAGGCTTGTTAAATTTTGCCAATTTTGTGAACTTTATACAAACTCATGAAGGATGTAGGATTTTTTCTAGGTAGGTGGGAGGAACAGCATTAGTAGGTATCTAGATATTTTAATTTTTTAATTTAATTTGCATTTCCATGATTGTTACTGAATTTATGAGCAGCTTTTCATGTTAATTGCGTATTTGGAAATCTTTGCTATATATTATTGATGCCGGTTTTTCCTGTTAGGTTGTAGATTATTATATATTTTTTGTGTACTATTGATCGGAGCCTTTTATCAGTTGTGTATTGTATGTATATATTTTCTTCTTTGCTCTTTTTAAAGTTTCTTATCAAGAAAATGTTTTAATGCTGTCAGATATATCAGTCTAAAAAGTTACTGGTTTTTACCCCAAAAGAAATCTGCATACTCTGGGATCACGAAGTTTTATTTTTAAACTTTATTATTTTGTCCTTCACATGTAGCTGTGTAATCCATAGGCCGGAGTCTTCAGCTTTTATAGACATAGGTCTGATGGATGGAATACTGTAGAACAGTGGTGGTGAACCTGTAGCATATGTGCCGTGGCGGGCTGTTTATCAATGAAAGATATAAAAGGTTCTCCATCACTGCTACAGAAAAATTCATCCATCTCTGCTGAACCCTTTGACAAAGTGTCTGTGAATTTGCATATTGGTCTGTTTTTCTCGTGAGCTGGTGTCACACTGCCTTAATTATCAGTTTGGGGAGATTTGACATATTTATAATGTCTTACATAACAGAACATGGTGTATCACCTAATACCTACATGTAGAGTTTTTCTATTTGTAATTTTTGTTGTTGTTGTAATGAATTGCATTGATATTTCAAATGTTGAACTAGTTTAATTCCTGAAATAAACCCAGCTACTTGGATTCAGTTTGGCATTACAGTATTTTGTCTTTTTAATGTGTAAACTATTTAGTAGTTTTCTTCAAATGCTACTGTCAAAGTTAGGTATCAAGATTGGGTAGGCTCAAGAACTAATCAAGCATTATAATTTTATTCTCTTTGAGTTTTTATAAGATCATGATATTTAGAAATTTATGTCTAATGGATATTTATGGGCTTTAAAAAATTATTTCTTTGTTGTATTTTTTTCTTGTGCACTTAGTTATTTTGTGTACTGAAATTCTGTTTACAAATTTATTTGTAGATAAAAATCTAAAGGCTGGGGTGATAGTTTCTTCCAGAGAGGATGTTTGTTGTTTCTGCCAGGGAAAGACACCAACTTCAACCTCCTTGAATCTCTCTGCCTTCCCCAATCCTAGATTTGTCATTTTTACAGATCTTTTGCTTTTGCCTTGGTACCTTCACTTGCTTATTGAGCGGTACTCAGGGCTGTGGTTGGACCAGATTACCTAGGGAGCCTGAGCACAAGTCATTTCCAATTCCCAGGGTTCTAGACACTTCCCTTTTCTTTTGTCTTCCTGTCTCATTGTACCTAAAGGAGCAAAATCTAGGGTTTGTGTGTTTCACCCAACTATCTATCACTGTATCTTTCTGTTTTTTCTGCCACTCTTGTGCTTTTGTGGTTGGTTTTCTTTATTTTACTAAAGGTTTGCTAGTTTATTTCTCTTGTTACATTTCCAGTTATGCCAAGTTGTGGATTAATTTTGTTTTTGCTTAGATAAGTTTTTAACCGTTGCTAACATCAGAAGTTATTTTTTGATAGAAAAAAGCTGTAGCAGAACAGTAAGGGAAAATGAAATAGCAGTTGAAGATTGCACTATCCCCGCATTTGGGTTTAAGAAAATGAGTAGTGACTAGTTACATTTCTTAAATAAACTAAAATGGCTTTAATCGTAGTGCTTTCCCATGCTTATTTTAAAAGTAGTCTTCCTTTACAGAATGCTTTGGATAAACAGGAAGAGTTGACACCTCTTGGAGTCCACTTGGCACGACTGCCAGTTGAGCCACACATTGGGAAAATGATTCTTTTTGGAGCTCTTTTCTGCTGCTTAGACCCAGTACTCACCATCGCTGCAAGCCTCAGCTTCAAAGACCCTTTTGTCATTCCACTGGTAAGGAGTAGGGACGTAGCATCTGAGCGCATTTAGATGCTAAAAGTAGCTGTTGCTTTAGGTACTTCTAAAAAATTTTATCAGTACATTTTTATGAGCTTTTTAATTAGGATATTTTTATTTTAGTGTCAGAAAAGTTTAAATTGCCATTATCTTTTCTTTTTTTTCTTTTTTCTTAGGGAAAAGAAAAGATTGCAGATGCAAGAAGAAAGGAATTAGCAAAGGAAACGAGAAGTGATCACCTGACAGTTGTGAATGCGTTTGAGGTATTAAAAAAAATTCTTGCTCTAGATTTGGACAGATTTGTTCAGTTGAAACACTGATAATAGAATAGGGACGTAGTTAACCTTTAAAAACATCTATATTACACATACCAGGAATAAATTGCTGAGAATATTTAAAAGTAAGTGATTATTTGAAGAATAGCTAATTCATTTTAAATTTTGTAATAGCTCATTATATTTACTCTTTTAGAATAAACGCCTGATTTGTGTTTGGTAAGAATAAAACAAATGAACTGTTTAAATTTTTTATATTTTACAGTTTTTTTACATCTTACCTTTCTGTCTCCATTAATAATCTCACTAGTTTTATATTCAGATGTAACACTTTGATCAGCCATCATAATTATGCATATAATTCAGTTAGGTAGATGTTTTCTCTTCCAAAAGCCAAGGTTATCCGAGATAGCTGCTATCCGTCTTTATACAATTTGAGTGTGATCTGGGTTTGAGAGGAAGTAGCTTTTTACAGCACCCTACATCAGTAATGGCAAACGTTTTAGAGCCCCAGTGGTGATGAACAGCCCACCGTGGCGTGTGCCGTAGGTTTGCCGCCGCTCACCTACGTTGTATTTTGTAGTGCTCACTATGGAAACTGGGTTTTTTTCTTTTCCCTTGGATTTATGTAATCTGTCTTCTCTTTCCCCATTTTCCTCTTTTTGCAACTAAGAAAAACATTTATGAAGCTGAAAATGTAATAGCGTTAAATTTAGCGGTGTGTTCTTTTGGATTGATAGTTCGTGTACAGTATGATGTCGTTTTGTAAAAAATACAGAATTACTAAATAGCCTGTGCTTACGTGTCAAAAACACCAGTGTTTCATGGCAGTTTCTTTTAAGGATCAGACTCATGAGAAATTTGGTTTTTTTTTTTTTTAGTTTGTAAAATTTTTTTTTTTTTTTGCGGTACTGGGAATTGAACTCACGACCTTGCAGCTGCCAAACAGGCGCTTATGCCGCTGAGCTATATCCCCAGCCCCCGTTTGTAAATTTTAAAATTCTTTGAATTTTTGAATGTGGAAGATTAAAGTGTGCAAAAATAAAACTAAAAACAATCTGCTGTGAGGACAATACAAATAGATTTCTTCCTTGGTCCCATAGGGATGGGAGGAAGCTAAGCGACGCGGTTTCAGATGTGAGAAAGACTATTGCTGGGAATATTTTCTGTCTTCAAACACACTGCAGGTAACGTTGATTGTTTTAAATTAATTACTGCATACGCTAGATCAGAGCGCGTATGTGTTTATTTTGTGCTTTTCTATCTATAGCAAAAGGATAAATATGCACAACGTATATTCTTATGTCTGAATCAAGACTCTTAATATATGTAATCAAAAATGCCTAATTGGCAAAGTGAAAAGTGAGTGACATGAGGGCTTATTTCTAAGGGTACATTTCTGTAGTCTCTGCAGGATACTACAGGCAGAGGAAAAGAGAAAAAGAGAATGGGCCTTGGCATACTTCAGGAGCAGATACCATAACTTTCTTGATAAGGAATAGCTTAATAAGAATGTGTGTTATCTTCTCACAGTAGTGCCTCTACATAGAGATACTGTGTGATTGATTGTTACTCGAAGAATTATAAAAGAACATTTCTCTGAAAGGAAAAAATAAAATGAGCCAGAAGTAGGTAGAGGGCTGAATCCAAGTGTTAACTTGAGAATATGGTATCAAGATCCTGATGCAAGTCTAAGGCCAAAGATCAAAGCATCCAAGAAATACTGTTCCTTTGAGCTCAAAAAAACTTATTAACAATTAAATGCTGCCTATTAAGAAATCAGAAGACTTCAGGAATGGAAAATGCATGCTGAGTCAGCTAATAGTGTAGAGTTGAAGTTGTTTAAATGCAGAACTAACATAAAGTTGTGGTGAGAGTTGTACATACAGAAGAGAATGTAAAGATTGTTATCCTGAACAGTATAATGGTAATGAAAATCAGGAGGTGGCCAAGAGAATCGTCTGTAGGAAAATTTGGTGAGGAGTCTAAAGTTACATCTTTATAAAAGGGATATATACTTACATTTGACCAGCTTTATGTTTTGTAATCTTTTAAGCTTAGCAAATACTTCTTTAGAAAATATATGTTGTGAATGTGAAAAATGTAGATTCATCTAGCCAGTTACTTTTTTTCTACGTAACTTCTTTAAATTGAATGAAAGTTGATTAAAAGATTTTTTTAAAAACAACCCTTAACAGTATTTAAGACTGATCTCATTGTGGATACATTTTTTTCTGATTTTGTTAGTTAGATATGCCTGGTGAGTGTCTGCAGTTTGCTTACCTAGAACGAGTGTTTCTTTCCGGAGATCATTGATTACTGAGATGAGAGAAGATTCTTCATTGATATTTTTCTATTTCTTAAAAGCTTTATACTGAGCCATGCATTAGTTTTACTAAAATTATAATTTTTCTTTAAAACAAACCTATGTGCCCTTGTGTTACCAATAAGTAGTTGTTGCTAATACAAATGGATATTGCTTATTTTCTTTGTGTTTTTCTACTTTTTGAAATATGAGGTGAAGAGGAATTTAGAGTTACATTAGTGAATTTTTCAAAATAGAGTTATCCTTATGATTTTTCCGTATAGTATACAAACCATTTTATAAAAGACTACATTGTACTGTAGGCTTGCAAACCATGTAGTCTCGTTTTTAAGCCTTTATCTCTATTTAGTACAAGAGACCACAGACAACATGTAGGTTAGTGGGTGTGACTGTGTTCTAGTAAAACTTTATTGACAAAAACAGGCGTTTGTAGTTTGCTGACATCTTTTGGAAACATCACAGTTTTGCAAGTTTTTGTAGAGGCGGGAAAGCTTATACTGAACTTACTCCGCATGCCGTTTTTCCTCATGTGTGTGCTAATTCTGTTCGTTGCCGTTGCTCCTGTAGATGCTGCATAACATGAAAGGGCAGTTTGCTGAGCATCTTCTTGCAGCTGGATTTGTAAGCAGTAGAAACCCTAAAGATCCAAAAGCTAATATAAACTCAGGTACGCCAGGAAACACAGTGTCAGTAACTTGCCATTTTGTCAGTTGTCTTGGTATTTTACTTTTTTGTTTCTGCCCTTCCATTCCCAATAGATAATGAGAAGATAATTAAAGCTGTCATCTGTGCTGGTTTATATCCCAAAGTTGCTAAAATCCGACTAAATTTGGGTAAAAAAAGAAAAATGTAAGCATTGAAGATTATTATGAATTACATATAATTCTCTCTGAATTTTTGAAATCCTCTGTGGCAACATGGCTTTTATACTTATTTGTTTGTATTTATATTTGGACCTTATTCATGACTACTAAATTACTTGCAAATAACCTTGATAGTAGCTGGATATGAGAAGACATAGTTTAGCCTAGTAACTAAGCGGATTCTAGAAAGGGTACAGAGGTACTGAAAGTCACAGATGGCTGGTGGTTTGTGAATTGCTACCACTCTTTTGGAAAGCAGTCTAGATGAGAATTATGTATCAGGTTATTAAAATAGTCAGTGGTTCAGTGTGTTGATATGTACACATTTTGAGAAATACTATCCTAAGAGACTAGTTCCACATATTTTTTAACAGTTGTATATATCTAGTAGCAAAGGAGAAATTACAGTTTTATAATTCCATATTTATGACATTTTTATAGGTAGACATATGAAACAGTCATTGTGTAGTAACATGTAAAGTATTAGAGCTGATTCTAAATGAAAAGATTGGACTTTGTAAGTGTGAGCATGTGCAGAGATGGACCAGCATGCAGTACTTCGCAGCAGGTTTTCAGTGGAAGTGACCAACCCCCCTGCAACCCCCTTCTCCCACCCCAACATATTTGACTGTTCCTGGCAGTATTTATATGGTCGTCATAACTGGGGTGGTGTGATGAACTTGCACTAGATAGAGGCCAGGGATACCGTTAAACATCCCATAATGTACAGGCAGCTCCCTACAGCTAAAAACTGCCCAGTTCAGTGTCAGTAGTGCTGAGGTTGGGAAGCCTTATTTTAAGGTGTAAGATTATGGGTAAATAAATTAATTATAATCATGTTTGAACTGCCCATATTTTAAGTTGCAGAGGACTTTTTTGATATTAACACTTTGCCAGATTTTTTTTTTCCTTTATATCTAGCTTTAGAACTAACTTAACAGAGAGACTGTTTAAAATAAAAATAGTTCATTATCTTCTACCGTCCTGCAAGGGCTTTCTGAAAAAACATAGCTTTCTTTGGATTGGTGCTTTGTTTTGTCTAGACTATAGGGGGTGAACAGATTTTGGCTTATTGGCTAAAAGGATTTTTATAAATTTTTGTTGAAACACAGCCTATATCCATTCATTCATGTGTTACCTGTCTGCTTTCCTCCTATTCTAGCAGGGCTGGGTATTGTGACAATTTGTAGAGCTCCTAAAGCTCAGAGTACTTACTGTATCTGGTCCTCTATAGAGATTTGCCCACTAACAGTTTGTGGATCGTTAGTTCCTATGGTCTTGTCTAATTACAGAAAATTACTGTTTAAAAATAACTTTTAAAATACCTCTGAGAATTGGAAGATTGAACTAAATTGTACCACAATACATTTATTTCAGATATTTCTTTTTTGAATTGGATTTATGTGTGGGACTACTAAAACATTTTTAGATTCTTTTAAATCAGTTTTACAAAAAAAAAACACAGATGGTCAGTTTTTAATTTTATGTTCTTCTGGATACACTGAAATTTTTAAATTGATCATTTCCTGAAGTTACTATATAAATCAAGGACTGTTTTTTAATACTGTTACTATCATAGTGAAATATTTAGATTGTTCTATTGGTCTGAATCACTTAATAATTATTTAAAGTATCCATTCTTCATCCTCAGTGATATAGTATATGTTAACATATTCAAGGAGTGTTCTGTCACTTTCCAGTATGTTGAGTAATTACACCTGCAAGGGATTAGTTATATGATTGAGTACTTATATTTAGTCTTTACCTGATGTTTTTCTCTGTATCATTAAGAAAATTCTGCTTTCTTCGGATATAAACTCTTAAATTTATACTTTGCAAAAATGAACATATCTGTGGAAGTTTTTGTTTTGATTTAGATTCTGTGACGTGTTTGCTTTTTACTCCATCCGCTGTTAGGTTTTGATGCATTGAAGACAAAATTAATTCCTTAGAAAATTTCTTGTAACAGACTGCATGTTAACTTTTATAAAGGGTGAAAGTTCACACAAAAACGGACGGCCTGGTTTCTATTCATCCTAAATCTGTTAATGTGGAGCAAACAGACTTCCATTACAACTGGCTCATCTACCATTTAAAGATGAGAACAAGCAGTGTAAGTGAGCATTTGAAATTACTGTGGATGTGAACTACCAGTAATGGGATATTTGTCATTGTAAGCAGCTTTTTTCTCTGACAGAAATTACAACTTTTTTCCTTAAGCAGGTAACCTATATTTTTATGTTGTAATATGTTTTGATGAATCCTTGTATTTTCATAAAATAAGACATTTATTTGGTTTATATGATTTCCTTTCAAATACCATTTTCAAGAATTAGTGACATTTTATTTTGTTTAGTTTTTGCCGACATTTTAGAGCCAGGCATTAATGATGGACACTTGTAATCCAGGCTGAGGCAGGGGGATTCCTGTGAGTTGGAGGTCAGCCTGAGCTACATAGTGGTTTTAGGGGCAGCCTGGACTGCACAATGAGACCCTGTCTCAAAAAACTTCTTTAAAAAGGTGGGGGGGAATTCCTGACATTTTAAGCCAAGTGTAGCGCTGCACACCTGTAACCCAGCATGCTAAGAGACTGAGGCAGAAGGGCTGCAAGTTTTGAGCCTGTCTTGGACAATTTAGGGACTTGATTGAACGCTGTCTCAAAGCTAAAAAGAAGAAAAGGACTGGAGAAGTAGTTCAGTTCTGAGGCCCTGGCTTTAATCTCTAGTATCACCTCTCCAGAAAAACAAATCCTGGCATTTTACAGTTTGTAGAAGTTTATAGTGTATAAAGGATTTTGTTGGTATGTTAGTATTCGCTTTATAAGTCAGAATATTAAGTAGGATTCTGTTTATTTTCTACTTTAGAACATGAGGTAATTTCTTGTATACTGAATATATACATAAAAATAATTTCAGCTGTAGTATTTTTGTTTTGACACTTACAAAACATCTTGCTCAAAGGAGTAGTGGTATATTTCAAGTTAAAACGAAAACATAAAACCTATATATTCTCCAAATAAAGAATGGTTCATTTAAAACATTCAGAATTAATCTGCATAACGTACTAGCAAACTAAAACATTCCCACCGGCTTGAAGCACCTTCAGCATGCAGGCCTGGCAGTTCACGGGCAGCATGGGCAGTCGCACGTGTACCACCAGTAATTCAAGCAAGCAGGAGTGTAACGCATTCAACTTGGAGCCGCCTGACCGTGAGCCATAAGCATTATGGCCCCGTCCTGAACATGTTGCTGTTCGTTTTAGAAGGAAGCTACTAACGGGTGATATTGTTAATGTAGGAATGATCCTTTTGCACTGCTGAATGTAATAATACACTTTCTCATTACAGATATACTTGTATGACTGCACGGAAGTTTCCCCATATTGTCTCTTGTTCTTTGGAGGTGATATTTCCATCCAGAAGGATAATGATCAGGAGACTATTGCTGTAGATGAATGGATTATATTTCAGTCTCCAGCAAGAATTGCCCATCTTGTTAAGGTGACTGACTACATAATTCTCTTTCGGTCTGCATACAAGTCAGCATGTGGCCATGTGGTTTTGCTACAAGGTTTTGATACATTAGACATTTCTTGCTTTATTTCAACAGAGAAAATTGTGTTAAGAAATTGATTTTTCAGTTTTTCCAAATTACTTTTTGAGGTATTAACAGACCAACTATTCTACATGATCATTAAGATTAAAGTTTGAACTTTTTACAATGCGGTACCAGCTAAAGAAAGTCAGTTTTATCTATTATATAATTTGCAAATATATCAGCCTGTGTTGACTATGCATGATTTTTCCAACTTTAGGACTTAAGAAAGGAACTGGATACGCTTCTTCAAGAGAAGATCGAAAGTCCTCATCCTGTAGACTGGAAAGACACTAAGTCCAGAGACTGTGCGGTACTGTCAGCTATTATAGACTTGATCAAAACACAGGAAAAGGCAACTCCCAGGAATTTCCCACCACGAGTCCAGGATGGCTATTACAGCTGACAACTCTTCTGTGATGGTCTGAGAAGCCAGTTTGTCAGCCATTTTTCCCATTGCTTAAGTTTTGGCTAAATGCCAAACCTGGAGACATAATTTTCCAGTGTAAGGTAGAAACCTGTAGTAGGTAGTGAAGATTTCATGTGCATGGCTTCACGGTGTCGTCTGTAGCTACTGTAAATGTACTGTAAAAAGCACTGTGTCCTCTGATCACAGCCTCTGTTGTGGTCATGTCCATACTTTGCGAGCATTTCCCTTGTATGTATTGAGTATTGATTGCACCACTGAAGAATTCCTTTGTTCCATTATATGAAATTAATTTTCCGCCCATGATCATTAAGTATAGAATCAGTAAAAACAAAATGGTTAGCCGGAAAGTGTCAGGTTAAGAATTATAAGGCAACCATGTTTTTTTTATAAGAAAGTTTTATCAGAAGTAAGTTGTAATAAAGCCCAGTATTTAATAAAATGTACAGTGTGTAAATCTCTGCTGATTTCACGCTTGGTTTCTATGTCTTCACCTATCTCTTTACTTGAGGTTTTTACTGTTTAGTAGATACACAGCCCTTTTCATTGCCCTTTGCAGCACGGAGTAGCAACTGAGAACACGAGTCTGGAGTTGATTACCTAGGGTCAAGGCTCCACTCAGTCACGTTCTAAATGTCGTGGGCAAGTACTTAGCCTTTCTGTTCTTTTTTCCTTAATCTAAAGTACAGATAAAAATTCGGGGGATTAAATACGTTAATACATGTAAAGTACATAGACTAACGCCTGATGCTAAATTTCACGAATCTTAGTTATTATTTGTTTCTGAAATTTTTTTAAATGTAGAATAATCTGTTACATTATTTTGTTCAGTCCCTTACCTTCTTAGCCAGCAGAATCTAGTGTGACTTGTACTGTGCATTTGCAGCCCTGTCAAACTGGGACAAATACTATTGGTTGCAGCCATTTTATCGCTTCCTTATTGCTTGTTTCAAGTATCTCTGCACAGCTGTTAGGAGCCAATGATGTGGTCTTTGTCCCCTTAAAAAGTAATTAGAGAGGTGTGAGTACGAGTGAATCTGTCTTGCCAGTGGCAGGTGAGGAGCACTCTACAAGGGGATGTCTGAGAAGGATTTTTCTTAGTTATAAACTTCATGGAGGAAACTGCCCTCTTTGGACAGTGCCTCGTCTGAATCTGGTAATTTGGCCTTTCTGTAACCACTTGTGGTCACAAGAAAACGAACAACCGTATCTTGAGGATGGCTCAGTAAGAAGGTGGAACTGTCCAGAGTCCTTGATAATGCTGGAGAACTGCAGAATTAACCAGCTCTCCAGTTGCCGTACATGTGGACGTCAATGTGTCCTTCATTGTGTAAGCCACTTTCAAAGGGTATGTTTAATATAGCAGAGATGATACTAACCAAGCCGTCCTACCCATCAAGCGTTTGCTCAAGCCGCTTTCTTGCATTTATTACGCTGTATAACAGTTTGGATCCTTAATGTCTAAAGGTGTGAAAATAGTACTACTGGATATATTACAAAAGGAAACAGGAATTGCACCCTGCTGTACCCTAAGGAATGCAGATTTTATTTTGCCTTCCAGTAAATGCAAGGAAATAAAAGGAATTGGAGCATCATACAATGATGGACAGGTATTGATAATGCAACACGGATCTGTTCACAGCACTGGTTCTGCTACTGTTTCCATTTCAGAAACGTATGCCACCTACCGCTGCCTGCGAAGGGGGTAAAGGTGCTCTGTGTCCTGTGCCTGCTGGTCTTCCAAAGTGGTTTCTCTGAATTCCCTCGAGGCATGTCACAACACTGCAGCATGTTAGTTCTGCTCCTAAAGTCAAGGTGATCATCAGGCCCTGTTTGCTTTATAACAATATTTAGGTTTGTGCTTTTTATTATCCAATTTAAATTCATAGTCCTTTGACCTAAATGGAAAATTCTTTCTTGGAAGAAAGAATTAAAAGATTCTTCAGAAAAGAAAAAAATAAGATTACTTGATTCTGTGTTTGCAATGGGAACACATGAATGAGAGAAGTGTCCCTTAAGGATTAGTAAGTGAGGCGTCCACAGAGATCAGATAGTCACTTCGATTTTTCACTGCTGCACTGCTGATCAGAATGAAAATTTTAATTAAAGGTGCTATTTGTTTCTTTTATTTATAAACTAGCAATTGCTAAATGGAGAACATACTGTCAAGTCTAAACAGCATTTGTTCTTTACTGTCTTAAAGTAAGACATAAAATTAAGAAAACCTTGCCTTGCCATTCTGATCATTATAGAGAATAACTTGAAAAAATGACTGACACATTTGTGGAGGGAAAAGTGAATAATGTTTAAAAGCATAAAGGATGCGTGCATATGATGCCTTCCTAACTCATTTGAGCAAAAGCTCAGAATAAGTTTATTCCAGCTAATTGCAGGTTACTCTGTATTTTTGCTGCTTGTTAAAAACAAAGTCCACTCTAAAAGTTACTAATTGTAGAAAACCTTTAAAGGGAATTTATTTTACTACCTTCTAACCCAGAATAAATTGTGGTAAATTTCTTCCCATCCTCGGCTCTGGGTTTATATTTATTTGTATGTAAGTGTGGTCATATTGTATATTCATTGTATTCATAATAATGTGAATTGTTTTTAAATGACTTTAAAACAATCTGTCTTTAAAACAGTACATCTTCATTGAGTAATATTTTGGAAATTCAACAAAGTAAATCATGCTACCGTTGTTACATTTTTATATATTTTTGTGCTTTTTTAAGGTTTAAGATATTATTTTATACATGATGAAGTTAACCAATTCAAATGTATAATTTGATGAATTTTGTCAGCTGTATAAAGTTATGTAATTAATACCACCACATTATGCTTTTTAATTTTTTATTTAAAATCTCTTTTCCCACTCATAAACCCAAAACTTCTGTTTCCCTTTGCAGGCAATTCCCTTTCCCCACTTCTGCCCCTTGACAACTTTTTTTTTTTTTTTTTGCTACCGGGAATTGAACTCAAGACTGTGTTTGCCAGTCAGACACTTGTGCCACTGAGCTGTATCCCGGCCCCCTTGACAACTCTTGATCTGCTTTTTGTTACTCGTTTTCCCTTTTCTAGACCTTTACATGGAATCATACTCAGTTTTTATGGCTAACATTTTCCACTTAAATCTTTTGAGATAACTCATGTTATTGCATATACTAGTAATTCTTTTAATTGTTTAGTATTTCATTATGTTTTTACATGTATTCATTCACCAATTGGTGGATATTTGTCTTATTTTCAGTTCTTTTGGTGTTACAAATAAAGCTGCTGTGAACACGTGTACAAGTCTTCATGTGACTGTTTTCACTTTCTTGAATACTAAAAGTTGATTGCTTCATCATATGCGAGTGTGTGCAGAAGAAATCCCCGAACTTCATGGAAGAGCTGTACCATCTTTGCATTCTTGACAGCATTATATTGAGGGGTCCAAGTGTTTCATGTCCTTGCCAGTACTTGGATTTCTAGTTAGAGTTTGGTGGTTTGGTTTTGGAATTCTTTTCACTTTGGTTTTAATTTTTACTTCAGTGATTAATGATCAGCATCTTCTCATGCACTTATTTTGTATGGTGTTTTAATATTGTACCTCATATGTTAGGGGTTTAAAAGGCTTATTAATTTTGTATAAGAGGAAGTTATTTACATTCCTTGGCACTGATACAGCTAGATGTGGTATTTTGAGGTGCCTAATATAATGCAAGGTGGTAAGCCATTGAAATCAAGGGCTGGGGATTTAGCTCAGCGGCACAGCACCTGCCTGGCAAGCGCAAGGTCATGAGTTCGATTCCCAGTACCAGAAAAAAAAAAACAAGTGCAGAGAAAATGGCGCCAGTTTTAGTCACAAAGGCAAGATGACAAGGATAAGGCATGAGAAGGAACTTGTTAGCATTGAGAAAGACATGAGGAAAGGGAAACACCTGGTGGGGAGGCGAGCAGGGCCAGTCTTTACTACGGATGATGGACTCCAAACCAGTCCTGTTCAGAGAACTTTGCACCCTTTTTCTAGTTCTTAAATTTTATTCGTGCCATGGTGTGGATTTTCAAGAAAATTTTTCCAAGATGATGGTATATTTCTAAGTCCTTGCAGAGTATTTCATTTATTTCTACACATCCGTCATTTCAGTATTTTCGATGCTTGATCTTTGCCGTATCTCCCACTCACCCCATTTTCTTTCATCAACCGTCTATCTTGTTCAGCGGGATAGTTTTGGTATTTTTGGTTATGAGAAACCTTTTTTTAATTTTAAAGCAAAGATGGAGTAGATGTAATATTTTTATAGTTCCTGAACTAAATGCAAGTGGTGTCTAACATACTAGATCTGTTTTTATATTCAAATCAGTTTATCAGACTTAAAAATATCTGTTCTCACATCAATAAATACATAGTAATAAAAGTGAAAAAGTGCCAAAGATAATTTGAGCCCTAGTTGACTGAGTTTTTTCATGTATTTTGACTTTTTCTAAATATGCTTTTGCGTCAGTTAATGCAACCATTTGTTCCCCTGTACCGTGTTAAATACAGTAGATCACAATGAGTGGCTTGCAAATATCAGGCAAGCTTTGCCATTCTTTTTGCGGGTACCAGGAATCAACTCCGGATGTCACGTTTGCTGGGCAGGCGCTGCGCCGCTGAGCCAAATTCCTGGCCCCTGGCTTTGCATTCTTAGGAATTCAGGTATAATCCCCGTGACTGAAGTCTGTAATTCTTTATAAATATTGCTAGATGCGATTGGCAATATTTTGATGAAGATTTTGCCACTATTTTCATGAGAGATACTAGTCTATGGATTTCTCTTTGTACAGTAATACTGGCCTCAATGTGAACTGGAAAGTTACTTACTTAAATGTTTAGAATTCTCCAACAAAGGCATTGTCATTGTTTTACTAGTTTATGATTTTGAATGAATTTGTCCATTTTATCTAGTTTGTTGAATTTATGTAAGTAGAGTTGTTTATAATATCTTTCTTAGGCATTTAATTTTTGTGGAAGCTACAGTGATACCATTTTTTCATTTTTGACATTACGTTTCTGTGTCAGTTTTGCTAGCGAGTGTATCAGTCATACTCATTTTTTAGAAAGTCATCTATTGCATTTTTTTCTTTTTGAGTTTGTTTGCAATTTCTATACTTGCCCCTTTTATTTCTGTGGGTATATTTTGTCTATTTTTTTTTTCTTTTATTTCTGCTTTCTTAAATTTAGGTGTAAATTTAGTTCCTTCTTTGCTGACGTATTTTGTGTTACAAAATTCTCTAAGAACTACTGTAGCTACATCCTACATATTTTCATGTGAATTAGCCAACGTTTTTATTTTCATATTTGTATACTTTATTTTTGATCTCTAGATTGTTTAGAGATGTGCTGTTCATTTCCAAGTGTCTGGAGACTTTAATTTCTAGTTCCATTGTTGTCAAAGAAGCCTTTGCATTTCAATTCTTTTAAAGGTGTGGGTTTGTTTTATGTCCTAGAATATGATCTATTTTGGTAAATGTTTCATACCTACGTAAAAAAGTGAATAATCTGTTGTTGGGTGGTGTGTACCATGAATATCAATTAGATTCCATTTTTTGGTGTTCTGTATATATTTTTCTTTTTTAATTCTTTTTTTTCTTACTACATCAGTTTTGAAGCTTTTGTTATTTGGCACATACACATTTAAGGTTGTTTTGGCTTCTTGGTGTACCTTTTATTGGTAAGTACCTCTCGTCCTTGGTAATTTTCTCTGCCCTGGGGTCTACTTTGTCTGATAATAAAGCCACTCTAGGTGCTTTTTAATTAATTTTTTTATATATCTTTTTTATTCATTTATTCTTAAATGTATTTCAAATAGCATTTAGTTAGGTCATTTAAGAAAACCTGTCAATGTCGCACTGAATTATTTAGGCACTTAAACCACATGTGTTCATTAAGTCTGCCACTTCATTTTCTTTTTATCCCTTCATTTTCATTTGTTTTCTTTTTCCTGGGCTTTGCGTAAGTATTTAATACTCTATTTTCAACTCGTCTATTGGTTTTTAGTATTTTTTTTGAAAAAATTTTAGTTGCTCTATGGATTATAATATACATTTATAACTTACAGCCCACTAGTGTTGGCAGTTTGTCATTTTAAGTGAAATAAACATTATACTCATTTAGGTACATTTATCTGCTTTAAAATGTAGGTTTATTAAATACTGCCTTTACATAATTATTCATGTCAGACAATACAGTTTTGCTTTGAGCCATGTACCATGATTAACTCAAGGATAGCTGGAAGAAAAAAGATTTTGAATCAAGATATATATAGGTAGAAATTCTCTAGGATGAACGTGTATGTATATCAAAACTGTACCAATAAAATTAATTAAAAAGAAAGTCAAGGATAAGCTACTAACCAAACGTTTGTTCTTATTCCTGATTTTCCAAATTTCTTTATCATTTCCTTTGTTTGATAACCTTTCTTCAGTTTTTTCCTCTTTACACTTCCATGTTTTAGAACAGTTTTAGGTTTATAGAAAAGCTGAGTAGTAAGTACAGAGCTCCCATCTGCCCGTTCACACTCCCCTCCATTGACCTTACTGCCAACCTCTTCCATTGTGGAATATTTGCTATAACTGGTGAGCCGATGCTGATACTTTATTGTTAACTAAGGCCTACTTACATTGCGGTTCTCTTTGTTGTATATTTTCTCTATAATCCCTGTACCTGCCATTGCCGTACCGTATCATACACAGTTCTTTCACTGCTCAAAAAAAAATCTTCCGCCCTCCTATTCCTCCCTGCCCCAGAACCATTGGCAACCACTGTCTACAGTTTGCCTTTTCTAGAGTGTCATATTCCTGGCATTGTGTGAGTAGCCATTTGCAACTGACTTCTTTTAATTAGCAATATGTGTCTAAGGTTTTTTCATGTCTTGAGAGTTCCTTTCTTTTATTGCTGATTAATACATACCATTGTACAGCTATAACACAGTTTACTTACTGACGGGCATCTTGGTTGCTTCCAAGGTTTGGCAGTTATTAGTAAAGCTGCTACAAGTATGTATGTGCAGTCTTGTGTGTGGACCTGTTTTCAACTCCTTTGGATAAATGCCAGGGAGCGTGACTGTTGGATCATATGGTAGGCGTGTCTACTTCTGTAAGGAATTGCCAGAAAGGCTTCCTAGGTTGCTTTTTTTTTCATCCCAACCAGCAGTGAGTAAGAGTTCCTATGAACTCCGTACTCTCATCAATAATTTGGATTGTTAAAGTCTTATATTTTAGCTATTTTAAGGTAGATAAAGGTACTGCAGTTTTAATTTTCAATTCCCCAACATATATTAGGCATCTTTCTATGTGCTTATTTTCCATCTCTACATATTTGGTGAGTTATCCAGTTCTTTGACCATTTTTTAAATTGAGCTCATTTCTAACTGTCAAGAGTACTTTGTATACTTTGGGTGAAAATCCTGCATCAGCTACATGTTTTGCGAAGATGTATCCCCTCTCTGTGACATCTTTTCATTCTATCAACAGTGTCTTTCACAGAACCCAGGCTTTTAGTGTTTTTTCTTTCCTGAATTATGCATTTGATGTTTTATCTACATTGTGGAAATAGATTTTTGCTTCTGTCATCTTCTGGAGATTTTATAATTCTCTATTTTACATTTAAGTCCAAGTTCCCAAATAAGTGAGTATTTAATTTTGTTGACTTCTAGTTGTATTGAAGTCAGAAAACTTTACTTTGAATAATCTTAGTCCTTTAAAAATTCTTCAAATGTTATGGCCCAGGAAATAGTCAGATGTAAATAGATGTAAATATCTTACATGCCTGAAAGAATAAAAATGCTGAATGGTTGCAGAAGGTCCTCTATATGCCTAGTACATTGAACTGTTACCATTAAAATCTTTACTTGTACTGATGCTTTTGTACTTTTCATATCAAATAGAGATGTATTTTACACAGTGATTTTGGATTTATTTCGGCCAACTTTGTTTCATTATTTTGAGAGCATTACTGGGAGAATATGTATGTAGATTATTATATTTAAATTAAACTTTCCTCATTATGCAGGCTGTTTATTCCTAGCATACCTTTTATTTTAAAGATCATTTCACCTAGTATTGATAAAGCTACATGCTCTGAATGCGGTAATATTCTGCCTTCTTTCCCCTGTAAGACTGAAGGAGTCACTCCACCAAGTGCTAGGATTGCCTCCAGACTGGCTTCATCCACCAGCTCTGCAGGACCATCCTCAGATGGAGGGATCCGCCTCACCCACGATCACTCTCCCTTCCTGTGGACACCCTACATCCCAGGACTGCGCAGAGGATGTTTATGCAGGCATACCCCACTGCCTGCGCTCCTCTCCACTCTCCTCTAGGACCCTAATTAAGCCCCTGCATTCTCATGATTCCTTGTGCATAGTTTCTTTTGCTTCTCTTCCATTTTCCCAATATCTCTTTTAACTGTGTCTAATGTAATGTTAAACCTAGTTCCATAATTTCTAAGTTTCTTTTGTTGTTTTTTTTTTAGTTGCTGGTTGTGCACTAAATTTAAAGTGTGGCTTTACCTCTAACATTGTTCCAGTTATGATTGGTTTTATACGTCAGTATCTGATGGTTTTATTGTCTGGAGTCCCTGTGCTTTTTCTGTATCACATTCCCACATCACACAGTGCTTGCTGACCAGTCATTCTTAATTCGCTGTTAGAAATAATTGAGGATTGAAATGACGGTAGTGTCTTCCAGAGGTTTTGTTTCCTTCCGCCAAGAGTTAACTACGCTAGAATCGCAGAAAGCAAAGCTTCAGGTCTTCCAGGCCCGCTCACTCCAGATTAAGCCCTTTGGAGACTCAGTCCAAACGAAAATTACTGTGGCAAGCACCGAGCTGCGACCTGCATTACTTAGCACTGCAATTCCACCTCTCTCGGCTGCTCCCGACAGCCCAAGGAAAACGGAGCAAGTGTGGCTAGGAGATGGGGAAGAAAGCGAAGCATCCACCTACTTCATGGGGCGGGCACTACCCATCTTTCCTCCTGCACCACCAGCTTGAGTAAAAGTCCAGCCAATACGCCTGTGTATCCAAAGAAGAGTGTAGCTGACTGGTGCTCACTCTTGCATGGCTGAGTCTTAGCTGCAAAGGAAGCTCGAAAACAAAGTACCCAGTCTTACGGTTTTATGGAGGGCGTCGTGGGCAGGATTCTAAGGTGGCCCCCACCTGTGTCCTTGGAGTCGCATCTTGGATTATTTTATGTTGCACGGTCCAAGAATTTTGCAGATATAAGGTCCCAAAGCAGTGAATTTTAGGTTAATCATTGACAAAATGAGCCCATGTGTCTAACATACGAGTTCTTTAAAAGCAATTTTCTCCCTCTAGGAGCATAAGGAGGGAGACAGAGATCTCAGATATGAGAGGTGTAGACAGGCCTTAAAGACTAGAGTCACGCAGTATGCAACAGGAACGGCCTCTAGAAGCTGTGGGCAGGCCCGAGCGAACAGGCAGCAGGAGGCGGGGGCCTTAGTTCCACAACCGCAAGGAGGTGAGCTCGGACAGGAATAAACGTGAAGACGACAGCAAGCTTTGACGAGAAACTAGACAACACACTGATTACATCCCGGGAGGCTCCAGTAAGGCAGCCCTTGCTATCCTGGACTGGACTGGAGAACTATGGAGTACTAAGTGAGCGTTGTTTTGAGACACACGTTTGTGGTAATTTGTTAGATGACCGTAGCAAACTAATGTAGAAGCATTCATTCTTTTTCTCTGACCAAGATTCATGAGGTGACAAAACTTTACAACCACAATGATCCAGATACTGGGTGGCAAAGTGAATATTAAAGTATGCCCCACGGGACAGTAAGGAACTGTTTAAGGTAAACTGTTTATCCTGAAGTTTTCAACTAACTATAGAAGAAACAGCATGAAGACAAAACAAGAAAGAAAACTGCCAGTCTTCTAGAGTAGCCAATGCCAGCATGTACCCAAAGAGAAAAGGTAAGTCCCCTGAGCCAGATGAGGTAGTGCATGCCTATATTCCCAGCACTCTGGGAGGCTGAGGCAGGAGGATCACAAATCCAAGATCAGACTGGATAACTTAACAAGAGCCTGCTGAAAAACACAAAGGGAGGAAGATGAACCCCATGGAAAGGCAGAGTTCAATCTCTTGTAGTGAAAAAAAAAAAAAAAATCTCCTGAAATGTTACAGTTATCTTTTCAGTACAACTCTGATTTGGCAAAGAAATCCAGAAAACCATAGGAGTAATTAATTCACACCAGTACAAACATAAATATATACAAAATCTTTATAAATTCACAAAATTTTTAAAGTGTACAAGCAACTCAGTTTATTGGAACAAAGATGGCATTTTTGTTTTCCATGAATGAAGTCACTATAATTCAGAGACAGTGTTCAAAGAAACAGAACTGGCTTTGAAAAACACCGTCATGTTAAAAAGATTTCTAGGTTGAAACGAAATGTTGTGAATAACATTAACTGCTGTGTAGCAGTACTTTACCTAGTGATTGTACGAGTCTACTTGCTCATTAAGGCTTTGATTTATGAAACGCACATACTTCCAAAACTTTTTATCACTTGCACTATAAATTCACAGGATTCATATGTTTTCTTTAACTTCAACTAATTATTAGCAAAAATAATACAAAATGATAGCCTTGCAAGGAACAAATTTAGCTTCTTTTGTAAATAAAACATTATATTAAATTATAATTTCGTAGCTGTTCCCCTGGAAAATTCGTGACGTTATTAAAGAGGAGACAGACTTCCTGTTTGACAAACACCACACACTGCTAGTGCTTCACCCACACACTTTCTCCGGCTCCAAAAAAGGGCTGGGGCTGTCTTCTGAAGCGAATGTATGCACAGGTAAAAGACAGCAGTCCAAGAATGAGAAGTCCGCTGCTGGGTACAGGGGTGCAGAGTGTGAGAGCTAGGCACTCTTACCTAAGCAGGGGGCTTCTGTCACCTTAGGGTGTGGACCACTGGTTAGCAGATCTTGGTTGGGACAACACTGCAGAGGTTGCCAGCTTGTAGGCCATTGTTGAGAATAGAGGGAATGTACAGTAAAAATCATTTATCCTCTCCCAGTCTTCCAAATCCTCACTACCTCTTCAAGAGACCTATTATTAAAACTGTTATCTCAACTTGCCCTTGGGGAAGAAATAAAGTTCTGCAGATACTGACAGTTAAGAGACTCCCTACCCAGAAAGCGAAGACTTTAAGTGTAACTAGAATAGATTCGCATTAAGGTCAAAAATATTTCAAGTAGGTATCATGTTGGCTTGTGGATAACGTCTAAGGTTTCTTTCTTGAGATTGTTAAAGTGTGTTCCACCTGATTTCCTATTTGCAAATAAGCAGAGAACGGTTAAGAATTCTGCAGTATTAAAGGCAAAGCAGCCTCATGTCAGTATTTTATCAGCTTATCAGCTCACTTGGCAATATTAAAAAAATCAGGACCCTGTCCTATGTTCAACAATTTCTACTTATGTGAGCCATCTAAATTCTATGTTAAAGTAGTTTATTAGGCTATGTTTATCTAAGACCGATACTGAATGAGACGGATTTAAAAAAAAAAAAAAAAAAACCCTTAAAGGAAGGCTCCTTACTTTCCATCTGATGAGGAAAATGGGAGCAAAAATTCAAGTGTCAATGTCCCTTTCCTGGGAAGTGATTTAGGAAAACCTGACAGCTCACTTCTAAGCTCTCATCGGTTCCTTTCGAAATTAACATAGCATTAGAATCAGATGTTAAAAGAGTAGGAAAAAATATTTACAAAACTAGGTGTTCCTTAAAGACAAAATTTTGCTGATACTTGGAAAACTAAAGAGATGCCTAAGGGGGAACAGTACTGTTCTTAGCAAAGTGAGCACTGCGACAACCAGGACGTAGCCATATATATAAATCATGCCAGTTATGCAGTGGAAGTAGGTGCTGAGACTGCTTGGCCCTGCAGCGGGCGGCGCTGAGGACCCAAACAGGATCACCACGGGGCCATCGCGTAAGAACTGAGCTTTGTGAATGAACTAGCTGTTCTTCGGAGAGCAGAACATCGTGGCAAGCTTGAAGGCGAGTGTTTCTCTTTCTTTCAGTTAAATAGTCTTAACAGTACAACCAGCCCACCATTCTGCCGTGCAAATCTCGCAGTAACGAAATGCCATCTCAGAGGTTACACGTTGGTCTCCAGTCCTAGCAAGCGTCCCATTCTCTCCACGTTCTTGTCGATTATAGCTTGACATGTTATCTCCTTAGCACATTCCATAGGAAACCAGCCCCGTTCTCCATCTCGAAGTCGTTCTCCCTCATACCAGCCTGCAAAGAAGAACAGAGTTTGCCTCAAAAAGAAGAGTTTCTGGAGGAGTGTTACTGCACCAGGCTCTGAGGAGGTGAGGACAGCTCAGAGGCAGCATCTCCGTGCAGGCTGCAGACCACGGATGACGCAAGGTGAGGAGAGAAGACCCGGATGTAACAAGGTTGAGGGTATGTGAACTGGTGTTGAACTGAGGAAGGGGATTCTCTGGGTAAGGGTAGCAGAAAAAAATCCCTTTTGCAAGTAAGAAAGAATCTTTAGGGTTGGGAACTAGATCCCTGGGGAAATGACAAGGAAAGAAAACCTTTCATGGTAGCTCTTGAATAATACCATGTAACTGTATTCCCATCCAAAAGTAAATGTGTAGATACATGGAAAAACGTATGAAAAATAGGTAAACTGAAGGAAGGTACAAAAAAAGAGAAGGCAGTCAGGGTAAAAGTTTTTGAATCTATCAAAGTCCTTCCATACACCTCCAAAAGTCATCTTTAGGACTCTGAAAAGGCTCTGCTTTGGGAAATGAAATTCTGGGAAAGAGGAAAAGAATTAAGAATGGAAAAGAAGGAAAGCCAGTCTTCAAGCTGAGAGGCCAGTACGTGCAAGTTCAAACATTAATGCGTCAGGATAGGGGGTATGAGCTTTAGTGACAAAGTAAGACCCCCGGGGCCTGTGGTTCTCCGAGTGCTGGCCGCAAGTCCCTCAGAAGGACAGCCCTACTCACCATCTCCGACACGCTGGTAGATGAGGACCACATCCGCCACCTGCAGGGACAGTTCGTCCGGTTGCTTGGCAGTGAATGACCTAATGATTTCCACCTGGGTCAGCGCTGCGGAGGAAAGGGGGCATGCTGAGCCTGCGGCGGCGGCGGAGGACGGAAACAGGCACGAAGCAGCTCTGCGCACTAACTCAGCTCTTCTGCAGTTTGGAGCTGGCACTGACAGAGTAAGGTAGGTTTCTGCCAGCGGGTAGGAGAGCTTTTCTAGATTCTCTGGTTTGGCTACAAGCTTTAGAATTATAGAAGCTCAGATTCAAAAGGTTTTTTATGATGCATGAATAGCCTGAACGAGAGCCTTGATCAGCAGTCATGAGTCATGTGATGCACGGGCGCGCAAGGCAGCCACTGGGGAAACTGAGGCAAGAGAGGGTAGATGATACGCCGAGGCTGTGCAACTCATGACGAAATCGGCAACATCCAGCTCTCACCGGGTGTGCCCCACCTCAGCAGGAGCAGTGTACGCCGTTTGGTACAGCTCAGTAATAACACGAGCATCCACTAACAGCTTTCTCGGCTTTCGATCCCTCCCTCCAGAATGCTGAAGCATAACATAAAACAGCTTCAGCGACTTGGTACTGACTCACATGACTTCTTTATTCTCAAGGTAAAAGTTCATTTCATGTCAATCACTTTGCTCTGACTGTAAAAGCTATGATTTGTGAGTGCTCCAAGATAACCAGTTTTCCTGCTCCAATCTTTGGGTTGACCTTGTAGCTAGAATCAGCAGAAGTACGCTGAAGTTAAGGAGACGACAGACAGACACCAACATGTACTGCAACAGTCCCTGGTTCTCTGGCAGAACAAATATACTTAAAGGTCAAAAGGAATAGTTAAGTGTGTTTCTTAGGTTGAAAATTTTCAGACTATGGATGGAAAGAAGGCTTAAATTTGCAACAATTTCCCATTGGTAACAGCCAAAAATTTAAGGGCCTTATAGTTCAAGCAGGGATTGCATCATATGTAATTTACCGTAATCCCACAATAACCCCACTGTCTATATAAAATAATGTACTTGACTTTCAGATGATTAAACAGGTTCAAGAAGGCTAAGCAACGATTTGCCATGTTTACATAACAAGGGAGAACTGTATCTTGGACTTGAATTGAGATCCCCTGACTTTCAAAGCAGGGATCAGTTCTGTGGAAGGAACCTTGGAGGGAATTTAGGAAGCAAGGACCGCGCTGGTGCACGCCGTGTCCAGCAGGGGGCAGAGCGCCTCCACGGCCCCAGTCAGGCTGCCCCTCCAGGCAACTTACAGGTTCGGTCCGGAGGCTGCTTCCCACTGCTGTGTCCGAGGGCTGTGATCCAGCGGGCTCGCTCGCTCCTAAACACAGAGGACAGAGTCGGCTGAAAGAGTCAAGGTGTTCTGACACCGAACAGAGGATGTTCTGGACACCCAGTGCAAACGCGTTCCCCGGAAACGCCGGAGAGATCCCAGACCAAGAAAAGGACCGGTGTTCAAAACAAACCTAAGAATTATTTAAAAACAACAGCCTGAGAATAAGCAGAAAATAGGGAGAGAACTATTTATCATGCCAAAAGAGTAAAAATAAATTTGGCTAGTTATTGATTGGATGAGATTTCTCATTTAACAGTTTTGACATTTCATAAAGTGCTCATGATTACATCACAAACGGTACAACACACTCATAATCCGACGTTTAACGCTTTCATATCTCCCGCTCTCTTTTTTTTCTGAGACTGAGTCTGGGTCGGGCTGGCCTTAAACTCACTCTGCAGCCCAGACTGGCCTCCTGGTGATCCCTCTGCCTCAGCCTCCCAACTGGTTGGATTACAGATGTGTGCCTCCATGCTTGGCTTGATGCGCTTAACTTTTCAAGAAAGTAAATTTCTTTTTAAAAAATCCCAGTAAACCACTATTTTTTATTTCCATAAACTCAGATCATTTCGGAAAAGACAATGAGTTCTATACAACTAATTTTAAAATTAGTATTCTTTGTATTTAAACTGTTCTCAAATTTTTTGTGTGTTTAGTGTTAGGGGTCGAATGTAGGGCTTTCTCATGCTAGGCAAGAGCTCTGCCACTGAGCTGCATTCCGAGCCCTTAAAAGTACTTCACCGTGGTGTAATAGCTACAGCTCCAACCCAGCAAAGAGGGAGAAAGCCAAGCCTTTGTAATAAAATAGTGAACTCCACTTACATGAAACAAAATAATTGATTAAAGGATCCAAAGTTCCAAATAAGCAAGCACTGCTCCACAATATAATAATCCTTAGTTTCACATTTTGAAGATCCAATGCAGCATTAGAATTGCAATTAATTTGCACACACATTCGCAAACTTAAATCACTTTAGAAACATTCATTAAACCCACACATGCCAGGCACAAGCATGAGACATCCATTTTTCCTGGACTCCTCCTGAAAGCCGAGCTGAAGTATAACAGGAAGACCAGCCAGAAGTCCCGAGGTGAGTGACTTAAATCAAAGTTGATTTTACTACCAGCCTTCCTTCCTCAGGGAAACCTTTATGCCCAGTACCTGAAACTTTTGCTTTTTCTTACAATAGCTGGCAGAAACTGGAGTCCTTTGTCGGGGAAACGGGCGCACCTTGAAACCACGTTAAGTGAAACAAATCAGAAACACAAGCTTAAACACTGCAGGGTTCTCCTTACACGAGAAACCCCAAGTATAAATAAAGAGCAAAATAAAAGAGACTAGGAAGCAGGAGACAGGCCTTTTGCAAAGGGGAAAGGGACAAGAGCCGGAGGGAGGGACTGGGGGGGAATGCGAAGACTGAGGGTGCGCTCTGTACGCGTGCCGACTCCCCACGACAGATGTAATCGCTCTGTGCTGCAAATGCACACCGATACAAATAAAACCTTTGAAAGAGGCACATGCAAAACGACGAAGTGCCTCGTGCCGTCACGGCACCATGGCTCGCTCGCTCTTAGAGAGCCGCCGCCCTCCTCAGCCAGCTCTGCCTCCTCATCATTGCCATTTAAAGACTTTTGTTGTTGCTGAGAGAAACTGCAAAATCAATCGCACCGTAAGCAGAGATAGCTCCGGCCCTGCTGAGGCGCGTACGCGTAACTGTGCGTGCCGCCACGTTCACCAGTGTCCCAGGGCGCTGCTGTTCAGAGCGCGCCACCACCCACGAGCTCGCCTGCTCTGTGCTTCATGGAACTCAGCAGCGCGTGCACTTTCACATTTGGCTCTTTTTGCTCAGTATATCCTCCGAGTACTGAAAACGCAAGCCTCACCTCCTCCAGGTGGCCACCGGGGTATGTATATACCTACACTGTCGTCCTCGGCCCGGTCAGGTTACCCTGTCCCTGAGCAGCCCCTCTGCACAGCTCTACCTCGTGGCTGGTCAGTGGTAAGCCTCGTGAACTCGGCCACCCGATCTGATTCACCGCATTACCTCCCGAGCACGGTCTGACGCTGAACAGGGGTCTCAGTGAACCTCTGCTCACAACGACTCAGCACTTATCACCCACTGAACCCTGACTGTGCATTCACTTGTCTGCTTCTCTGACCAGGTCATAAACCTTGGCTGGCAGGAATTAGGTCTTGTTCTAAAATAAATGTACGAAGCCCCTATGTGCTAGGTATGATGCCAAGTAATTTATAAGTATCATCTCATGTGATCTTTACAACAAACTTGGAGAGAAAATATTAACATTTTTACCTCCATTTTTAAAGCAGATTTGCAGAGGTAAACCCCTACGCCCAGGCAGTGTGCGATCAAGGAGGGTGTCCCTTAGTAGGTGCTTATAAAATAGGAAGGAAGGCAAGAAGGGTGGAGACTGGTATGCTAAAACAAACCCACCTAAAAAGGAAAGCAAGGCTGGGCCCTGTCGAGCTGGATGTCAAGTAGTGATGGCACAATTTTACCCAGACACTGATAACACTGTCTCGCTTGTAAACTCTCTCTCCCCAGTACCAGGCTAAGCGCTTTGCAGTGCTTTTGTAAGGCACGAGTAAAGTACAACTTCCTTTAAAACAATCTCCAAGCGAATACTTGAATCTCTGGTCCTTTTTGTCGGGATAAGATCTACGTTACACTCAGGCTCAACTGGAATTTACAAAGTACAAAGACAATTACAATGAAATAATCCTTCACCGACGAAGAGTTGCTCACCCAGAGGAACGGGCACCACCCATTTGTGTCTCTGCGTGCTACACGGGAGCAAGTGATGCTCATCCCGGATTAGCACTGCATCTTTGCCTTCCCAGAGCCCTCTGGAGCAATCTGCAGCCAGACCTTGCACACACAGCTCCCCAAGGCCTTTCTCTGGTTGCAGCGGCCAGTTGCACCCTGCCGCGGTTTCTCGCCATCCAGATGAAACCTTTCATTCCCGTGGCAGGCTGCCTGGATGCTAATGGCATCCCTTGGACACAGCGGCCCCTTGCAAGGACTCCAGAGGACAGAACAAGACACTCCTTGTTGCCCTTGCTGAAAGGAGGCGCTTCTGGAAACTGTTTCAATTGAGTCAGTCCCACCCCCTCTTAGAAGCTGTCAAACCTCACGACTTCCCCTGGGGCTTCGAAGAGCCCTGCCAAGTGGCTTCCCGCCACCGCGAAGCCGAAAGCACTGCGTCTCTAAAGCAGGGAGGAGACTCATTGCAAGAACTCTAAGAACAAGAAAAACCGGGGCCTGGCCGTCCCCATTATTAAATTTAGTTATCAATCCTCCATTCACTCGCTGACATCTGTGACACCTAGGGACATTCTGAGGCAATAAAGATGAATCTGGACCCTACCTCACACTCAGCTCGGACCTTCTTTTCCCAAAGTGATAGTGTAAGAAACGCTGCACTAATACAAGTCGGTATTTGCTGCTCATCAACTCCCAAGGCTCGAGTGACGGACTATTCTTTCTTCAAGGAGCATTCACTGAGTGCGCAGCACGGCGCTAGGTGGGCACAGCGAATAAAATGGGGTTCCATGCTCTTCACAATTCTCAAAACAGAGGGCAGAACAGACACACACACACCCCGATATAGCCTGCAGTGTTCTGAGACAGCGAGTGCTACACTGAGTCCCCATTCGGGACTCCGAGGAGGAAGACTTCCTTGAAAAGAGTCTCCGGAGTGTGTGGGCGCCGTCCCTCCCCGGGTCTCACAGGAAGCAGGAGTTAGGCTGCACCTCATCCTGCCGCTCATCTTACTGATCCATAGCACAGGAGGGGTAAACTTATTTGCACAGAGTCCAAAGATACAGGAAGTCAGCTTCTCACTGGATTCCAGGCATCTGCTAGAAAAGACAAACCCGCGCTGAGAAATCGGAAAGTGGGTTTTGAAATAACGTGGACTGGCCTGCAGAGAAGACCTCTCTCTACACTGCTCCTGATTTCCCAAAGGAAGGAACCTCAGTTGATCCTTAGCCTTCCTTTTACCCTTCCTCAAACTGCACTGGCTCAGCTACTTGTGCTCCTTCTCATGGCCTGCAAGTCTCTATGGTTCTTTCAGAAACTTCCATACTCAGGGCCGCTGATGAAATAGATAAATAAAGCACATCTGAAGCCAAAAAAAGTAGACTGGGAACATGGTGTTTTCATCCATTCCTTTACACACTTGGTGTAACTAGACTGGTTTCATAATCTGATCTAAGAAAGAAAATCCACAAGGTTAAAAAAAAAAAGTCACTGTGAATGCTGGCAAAGCCTCCTAAAGCTGGACTTCAGCTCAATTTACCTAATTCAAAAAATTTAACTCAAAGCCAGGCGTGGTGGTGCACGCCTGTAATCCCAGCACTTGGGAGGCTGAGGCAGGAGGATTGCTGTGAGTATGAGGCTAGCTTGGGCTATATAGTGAGCTCAAGGCCAGCCTGAACTGCATAGTGAAACCCTGTCTCAAAAAGACCAAACACACACACAAAAAAAAAAGAAAGAAAGAAAGAAAAAAAACTAACCCAAGCACAATATTCCTGGTCCATTAAAAAGAGTTCTAAAATTTAGAATATGTGATCTGTGGTGTAGTTAAACAAATTACTTCTCGTTTATAGCACCAAATAGTTCTTGAGACCTAAAGCCTGGTCTGAGATCTTTATGTTAAGCTGAACTGGGTCGATTATCTGTTGATAGTTGATTAAAAGACCTCACTGATAAAAGATATGCATCACTCCTTCCCACTTCACTGAAGTCAACGAGGAGGACCATACACATCAAACGCCGCTCAGACCTAGATTCTAGATTCAACAAGGGGAAAAATACTGCAGCCTGCAACAAATACATTCTTCCATATAAACTGTCTTCTCTGCCCCGTGACTGTTCTCAAAGGATGGAAGAACATGATCGCGTCTGAGATAGCATTTCCAATTTTATTCCAACCCATTTACTTCCTGTTGTTAATTAAATCAC